TACTTAACCCAATCGCTTCACCCCGGATTGGTGACAGAACTTTGTAACTGCCCCTCCCCTAAATCCCCCTCCCCCCCATCTTAAAGATTTATCCTCCAGTTGTTAGCTGTCTATCCTAGCGTAGAGATCTCTGACGGCCATGTTATATTTTCCGTCTTAAGAGTGAATATATCGTGAAGGATGGAGGAGAAAAAGTGTATTTATTACAAAGTTTCATTTGGACTGCTAGTAACAGTTCTAGCCGCTGTTTCTACGGCTCTTACAATACATCTTTACACAAACAAAGTAAGTAATTAATTTTGCATATGAAAAAATATAATTCATGAAAATTGGATGAAAATAAGTATGTCACTATTACGCTTAATTATGAATTAAAAATAAATTTCTTTTTCATAATTAAAATCCTCCTTTTTTGAAAAAGGATGATTTTAGTCAGATTCATATTGTTTTCCCATGGTTTAGTTATTTTCATGTTATTTTATAGAAAATTAACAAAAACAGATTGTTCCCGTAAATCTAACTGTCCTTCTATTGAGACAGTGACAGTGAGTTAGGGTTTTCTAAAAAGTAAAGCTTTAGACGATAAGTAAAATTTATTTACTGTTGTAAATTGTTATATTGTTACTTTTCCTCCTTTATAGAAAACAGGCTAAAATTTATATAAAGGAAGATCTGGCAAATTAAAAAATATTAACGCTGTTGTTTTCTAAGCCATGTTTTGACTTGACAGTGCCAAATTTGACAAGATTATCCATTTGGGTAGATACTTGCACCGCTGTCTCTGTTTGGGTAGATAGTTGCAATGCTGTCCTTGTTTGGGTAGATAGCTGCAATGCTGTCCTTGTTTGGGTAGATAGCTGCACTGCTGTCCTTGTTTGGGTAGATACTTGCACTGCTGTCATTGTTTGGGTAGATAGCTGCACTGCTGTCCTTGTTTGGGTAGATAGCTGCAATGCTGTCCTTGTTTGGGTAGATAGCTGCACTGCTGTCCTTGTTTGGGTAGATACTTTCACTGCTGTCCTTGTTTGGGTAGATACTTGCACTGCTGTCCTTGTTTGGGTAGATAGCTGCACTGCTGTCCTTGTTTGGATAGATAGTTGCACTGCTCCTATGGACATATCAACAAATTTGGTCATGAGTGTAACTGTACCCATTTATCACAAGATGTTTCATTCATTCATTTCTTTATACGTGTTGCATTCATTCATTCTTTACACGTGCCTCTTTTAATCATTATGCAAAGAACTTTTTTTAAACACTATTTTCCTTTTTACGTGTTCGGTCATTTCTTTTTTAGAATTATGCAATTCATGTTTTTATCACTTTATTTCAAAACAATCAGTAGATAGTAAAGCCGGTGTTTTTTAATAGGATGACATTTAACATTTACTTCTCTTAAAAAGCTTTAGTTCCCTTTTTTCTAAAGAACTAGCATCCTTTGAAAATTGAATCACTATTGAGTTTTTGCCACACACTTTGATTTATCAAGGTTTACACTCTAAATTTGCAAAGATAAAGGAATTAGAAATTTTTTGTTGCGAAAACTGAGTTTACTAAAAAAAATTAAAAAGATTTTTTATAATCATTTTCTTTATTGAGTGGTGTTGAAAATTAACTCATTAGGTTTGATTAATTAACTAAGTTGTACATTAACATGTGCTGATTAAGATTTATATATATTTAAACCTTCCATTTTTAATATTTTCTATGAGAGGTAAAACCACTGGCGTTACGATATGGGGGGGGGGGGATATTGTTGGCCCATGTCTTAGGAATAATTTTCCTTATCAAAATGTATATTAGGCAAGTGTTATTTGATATGACAATGTTGTAGAATTTAATATTTCTACATGTTTAGTAAAAATGCATCAACTGTAAATATATCTGAATTATCCCGGTTCAAGTCCCGTCAATTGCAAAATCAAAATCTGATGAAAAGTCAAAAGAGCCACACTGATGAGCACTAATAGGGCGAAACACTGCGTCTATCGATATATTTAATACTAGCTGAAGTCTCAGGTATTCCTCGTGGAATTCTTTTTAAAAATCGAATTTTGAAAGAATAAAAGTTCGAATTCGATTTGTTTAGCCTTTGTTACCCCTGGGAAACCATGGGTTTCCTTTTAAAAATTTCAGCCAATTTTGTCCAACCGTTTTGTCAGCTATGGCTAACAATAACATATATAGCTATAACTAACAGATACAAATATATATATATAAACACTCCAAAATGGTTGGGGAAAGTAAAGTAGATGGTCTCAAAGTTGAAGAAGAGTTAAAATTCAGTGATAGTGATGGACCAAGCCTCTGTAGAGTAAAAAAGTAGATGTTAGTTCCACATTTATTGAAAATATATTTCTCCCTCCCCAGCCTAGACAGGAGTCTACTCTAGCCATCTATCAGTTTAGTTTTCTATATCTTTATTAGCGATCATAATTTGAATATACCTTTTATTATTTATTATTAACCATGTCGTTCAATGCTAAAACAATGGCACTTTAAGTCTGAGAAATCATTTAGATTTTGTAATCCTCATTTTTAAGTTTTCATAATGTTTGGTGGAATAAGATATTGTGAAGAATAAAAAGAAACTTAATATTAAAAATGATCTTGGTACAAAAATAGATTTGTTGACTGATGTACAGAGATAAATGAATTTATCCCCCCCCCCCCTCTCCTCCTTCTACTCTGGGGTGTAGTCCCACCCAAAAGGGGTGTGACCCCCCGTGGTCACAATATAGTAATAGGGGGACATTATCTAGCTACTGGAAGGGGTAGAGGGGGGGGGCGTGAATATAGGGCACATAAACACCTGGGGTTTAGCTCTCTACGGACTTAAGAGATGATTAATTGTTTTCTAGTTTCCGGAATATACAGGTGTAGTATATTATTATATAATCTCCTAGAAAGTCTTTGGAACAAAATCAAATATTTAAACCTCAATATCTTTAGAACTCGATGTTGTAAACCTTTGATATATCAAACTCAGATTATTTGATCTAATAAAAAAGAGAAAAAATGATAAAAATGAATTTTGTTATTCTGTTGTTGTTTTATCTTATATTTAACTATTTCAGGGTGAAGAGAATGCTGTACGTTTATCCAACAGTGAGATGGTTAAATCTGGAGATTCAAGCGGACTCTGGCGTGCACACTCTTTCCAGAATCCTAAACTTAATCTTTCTTTTCCGCAGCAGGCAGGTCAACCTGACCTTGAGATGGATATAGATGAGATTTATACCAACTGGACTCGTTGGTCGCGCTGCTCTAGACATTGTAAACAAAAACGAGCACGCCATTGCGCGCTTCCTCATATTTGCGGCTCAGCCGTGATAAAAATGGAGCGCGGCTGCCATAGTGATCGTTGTCGCGGCCGAGACTTTCATATTGTGAGAAAAAAGAAATTGCGACGAAAAACAAAAAATCAGTTAAAAAGAAATCGGGCCTTTTACACAAAGTGGTCGCGATGGACACCATGCACTGACTTCTGCCAGACTACCAGGGTCAAGTCCTGCAGGTTCCCCTTGGTGTGTGGGAACAACGAGGTGACCGAGGAGGCCTACTGCTACAGGGAAGGGAGCCAGTGTGAGACCTGGTATAAATCCGGGAAATCTCTGGATATTACTGATGAGGAAGGGTTTCCGCTCAAGTCCGAGACGGATAAAATCAACACACTTCAAGCCGAGTTTGAAACTCCAAACTTTAAAGACTATTCATCCCAGTGTGGGATCAGAAACCAGCAGACGAATTTGAATCCTAAAACATCAGATATTGCCTGGGCCTTGAGGATAATCGGCGGTCGGGAGGCTGATCCCGGCCGTTGGCCTTGGCAGATTGTGCTCTTAAACAAATACCGTGAGGCGTTTTGCGGAGGTACTTTGATCCATCCTAGATGGATAATGACTGCCAGCCATTGTGTCCGGAAACATTTGATAGTTCGGGTTGGAGAACACGATCTTGTGATCCATGAAGGATCAGAGAAAGAGTATGTTGTAAAGAGAGCGATAATCCATCCTGATTATAACAGAGATACAGTTGACAATGATGTAGCTCTGCTAGAACTCCCTGAACCTGTAGAGCTGGGTCCGCATGCTGGTCTTGCTTGTCTCCCTGAACAAGGGGAAATGCTGCCAGATCAGGAGCACTGTACTATTATTGGTTGGGGAAAGGAGAAGAAATCACATTTCTTTGGAACTGAAGTTCTTCACGAAGCAAGGGTAAGATAGATCATCTCTTATATATCTAACCTTTTATTAACATTTGACCATTTTTAAAAATAAAAACATTGTTTGTAATAATTATTTTGTTTAGGTACCAATAGTTCCCATGAGTGATTGTATGAGCGTGTATAAAAACTACTATATAACTGATAACATGTTCTGCGCCGGATACAAGGGAGGAAGAATTGACAGCTGTGCCGGAGATTCAGGTAACTTTCCTACATTATAAATGCTGGTCAACTTGGCAAAAACAATAGACTTTTTGGATTCCTTAGAGTCAAATTTATTTTTGTCAAACGTTTTTGTTTTAAACAACAAATTTTGTATTATTTTAGAGTTTTTAAAGTTTGTTTGAAAAATATAATATTTTTAAATGTTTTTCAGGTGGTCCGTTGTTATGCATGAAGAATAATCGTTGGACTGTGTACGGAATAACCTCGTTTGGTGAGGGGTGCGGGAGGCAGGGAAAATACGGAATCTACGCAAAAGTTCCCAATTACACGGACTGGCTTGAAAGGACAATTGAAACTGAAGAAAAAAATCGCGGGAAATAGTTGACTTTAATTGTGAATACAAATTTAATTATGTGATTCATTCAGCCTTCCTATTAAGAATGTGATTTTCTTCAGAGATTGAAAAATACCCTCTCTCCCTTCTCTCCTCTTAGGCCTTCATTAAAGTTGGAACAATGGCGGCCTAAATAAACAAAATGGTCGCCTAAAGAACCAAGATGACGGCCTAGAAAATTGTAACTGTGATGCAACAACGTGTAGCGGTCTCTTCCGGACACAAAAATATTCATTCTGTGTATGTATACCTCAAAACCTGTATCCTATAAGGAGGGATTTTTCCTCCCTATTCTTTAGGTTTCTAGTCCTAAATTATTGTTTAAATTATATAGTAGTTGTAATATTATCAATAGTGTGAAAGAATAAATGTTTACAATTAGATATTTTGGTTTATATTTTTATGAGACTTATGATTTTGATAATTTTAGGACAAATTTACATTTTTATGAGATGATATTGAAACAAAACAGCAAATTTTCTAGTTGTATATTTATCCGAAAAGATGAAAATTAAAATCATTAACTGAAGTATGGTATTATGACACTTGTCCTGCAGGACATATAAAAGTGTTAGAAAAATAGCATATTCCTTATTCTGAAGGACAAATAGTTTTAAGGACAAGTGAAGAGTATATGGATAAAAAATTGTAGGACAAATTATTTTTTTAGACCAAATGATTGTAGAACAACTGGCATATCGTTCTGGAAAATATATTTTCAATTAATTTAAAAGCTTTGAGGTAAAAAGAGAAAACTTTGTTTTTATAAATTGACCGATGACTGTTCTGGATATCGAACACGCTGTGAGAATTAGCTAATACTGATATCTCCTTATTAGATAGATATATTATTAATTGCTTTTGCTTCACATAGATCCAGAATTCTGAGGAAAGGTGCATGAATTATCAAGACGGGGTCGGTATTAAAGTAGCCCTAAACATGTGCACTTTAAAGCTAGGATATAATTAGCAAATTCTCATCGAAGTTTGCGTAATTTTGGACATATGTGATTGTGGAATTATTAAATAATTTAGCTTACGTTAATACAGTAAAAAACACGAAGATATTTTACTGAGACAAATCTTGCACCACACTTGAAAATCAAAATAAGTTTGTGTTCAACAATAAACAGAATAGCTGACACACTTTATTGATTCATTAAATCCTTGTTTTGCTGCATCCAAGAAAACAGAGATTAATCGCTATTATTAAACTGTTAACTCAAAAGCTCATAAAAAAAACATTAAAGGTTGTATGCACAATTCTCATCTTAAGAGTCCAACATGATAGCATAAATCGTTCTGATGATAATTTGCATCTACCCTTTTTCTAATTTGTTATCCACCATCAGTTGGGAAGCGCAATTATGTTGTAAAGTCACACAAAATGGAAAATTATGTTAAAAATTTGAAATGTATGAATTAAGGATCATTTCCGGCAGTAGCGAGATCTTCCTGTAATTAGGATTCCATATTATATACATATTGAAGTATTTTAGTATATATTGAATATTATATATATATATATATATATGCAGTATTTTAGTGTATATTGTATATTATATATACTGCAGTATTTTAGTATATATTGAATAACTGTTGTTGAATCTTAATTATATGTGCAAAAGAAAGTCCTACCAGAATGTCAATGAAAACAATTTTGTTTAAATTTTTTGCCAGCCTCCAGTTGTTGCATTAAATGTTCTGGGTAATGTAAACTGGTGGTCGGTATGAATATACATTACAATCTACACACTAGACCAGTATACGGATCATTGTATACCGGTTCGTATTATGCAACAATAGAGCCATGTGTGTTCCTCATAATATACTTTTCTTGCATATAATTACCTCGTTAAAATAAAATAAAAAATTCTGAAAAAAAAACAAGTTTTTGCTGAAAAAATGGTGTAAAAACAGATGGTGTTATTCCAACTTTTCAGATGCCATTAATTTTGATGTTTGTTTTGATAATTCAGCAGGAAAAGGGTTTTCTTCCCTGAAGCAGCTAGTTGATAATCAGATCGGTTTCGTCCTTCGTCTAGGGATCATGGTAATTTTTTAAGGTTGTTCATAATTTTAAAAATCCAGTATTTCCACAAATCCAGAAAAAAATTCCGAAAAGTCAAATTACGCTATCGACAAAGCCTGGAAAGACAAATTTCAAAGTACTTTCAGAGACAATTTCTGGTGAAGACAAATTCCGGAAGATACTTTTAAGTCTACGAGCGCAACCAACTAAATAACCTAATTTCCTCGAGATTATAGAAATAACATTAGAACATTTTCCGAAAAAATTTTGGAACTTACCTTTTCGAATATGTTTCTACACAATTTGTCTATTTGCAGTTTGTAAACTGTCGTCTTCATAATTTTTAGATTGGGTCAGGTTCATTGGTTATCTCTCTCCATATTGGTTGTATACTAGGGAGAAGGAAGTAGGAGTTTTAACATTTTATTTTCATAATTTTTTCCCAAATGATCAAATTTTTCCTTTTTGTAAAATAACCATTTAAAAAAAATTGCTTTTGTAATACATCATTCATTACCCAATAGATTTTAATATTTGTATAATAAGAAAAGAAAGAACTTTTTTTTTATGAACTATTTCTAATTATTAAGTTATGCATTTTTTTGATCAAATACTAACCCTCCCCAAGTCATTACAGTCAAAACTATTAAAATTTCAAAAAAGACTCTTGATAAGTACGATGTTTACCAATTGTGCATTTAAGAAACTGTGTCTTTGCTACAAATTCAAATTTGCTAATCCATATATCTTTGCAACCTGATCGTGTAAATCTTTGATATTTCAAACTGAGACTATATTTGATTTTCATAGTTTAAAATATCTAAGGTCCAAGATATTGGGTTGCATCGAGTTTAATAAATCCGAGTTTGTAGCAAAGACTCAATTCCTTCTATGCATTATCTAACAAAAAGTGTAATCGTGTAGGAAATCGTTCAATAACATTGCCTACGCAAAAGTTGTAAAAAGTTACACCATGATAGATTTTGTTGCATAACGTTTTGACTTTGCTGCATAAAGTAAAATCTAAAATTGTGCAAATTCGTTAACATTAAAATGTTTGAGCTTTGACCATCAAGATGTAATATAATCCCTATACAACGAAATCTTTCTCGTCACTAACTATATATTAATACTAGCTGAAGTGCCCGGCGTTGCCCGTAGCATTTTTAAGAAAAATCGAACATGAAAAATTGGATTTGTAAAAAATTGATTTTTTAGCCTATAATAATTATTGATTCAATTTCTTATTAATTTATAATCAATTTGTCGTCTTTTTTTGTTTTTTCACCTTTGCTTAGAATTGTGTGATTTGTGACTTGCTTATTTCTGCAAAGAAAATCTTAAAATTTTACTATGAAAATAAAAAACAATAAAGCAAATTATTCTTTTAATGTAAAATATATTAAGTCAGCTGTCATCGAACTCAGCTTGGAATTGGGTGTATGCTGATGTAAGATGTCAACCTTACTACCTGGAGAACCAAGATCATTACTACTGTAGTCCGGAGGGAGTAGTTACGTGTCTAGGTAATAAATAATGGTTGAGGGGGGGAGTCCAAGATGTTATAGTCCTCAGGGAGCAGTCACATGTCTAGGTAATAAATAATGGTTGAGGAGGGGAGTCCTAGATGCTATAGTCCGGAGGGTGCAATCACATGTCTAGGTAATAAAAAATGATTGAGGAGGGGAGTCCAAGATGTTATAGTCCGGAGGGAGCAGTCACATGTCTAGGTAATAAATAATGGTTGTCGATTATTATTTCGGTAATCTTAACGGAATAATCATGTGTAGTCATGTGTTTGGGTAAAATTTATAATAGGAAGGGGTGGGAAGGGTCAATTTCACATCTCTAAAATGTGTAAATGGATATAAGTGCTTAATGCGTAAAAGTAAATAACTTTGAATAACCTCATAAAACTATTATATCTAAACCTCGTTATAAAATTCGCGCATTCTTTAGTTTTAGACTATAACAGACTAATTTTTATTATTTAAACCTTGTTAAATGGTTTGGCTGGAAAGGACTGTAACAGACCTATCTTTAATATTTAAACCTTGTTAAGATGGTTGGGATGTAAAGGACTGTAACAGACCTATCTTTAATATTTAAACCTTGTTAAGATGGTTTGACTGGAAAGGACTGTAACAGACCTATCTTCAAAATTTAAACCTTGTTAAGATGGTTGGGATGGACAGGACTGTAACAGACCTATCTTTAATATATAAACCTTGTTAAGATGGTTGGAATGTAAAGGATTGTAACAGACCTATCTTTAAAATATAAATCTTGTTAAATGGTTTGGCTGGAAAGGACTGTAACAGACCTATCTTCAATATTTAAACCTTGTTAAGATGGTTGGTATGTAATGAATTATATAACCATGCTATTAATATCTGATTTATCTATATTCGTTTATCTATCTTATCATGTTTCATGTTGACCCTTACTGGCCATTACGGTCAGTTTGATTTCACCTGTATATAAAATGAATTAGTTCAACACGATTATTCGTTTAATACGGACGTAACGTAGCCTTGAGTTTTGGCTAAGGATAGAAAGCCTTGAGTATTGGCTAGAGATAAAGTCAGCTAGATTCTAATTAGACTTTGAGTAGAGTTATCGTTGCAGTATATAGCATCTAGATTTTTTACAGGTATGGACAGGACTGTAACAGACCTATCTTTAATACATAAACCTTGTTAAGATGGTTGGGATGTACAGGACAGTAACAGACCTATCTTTAATATATAAACCTTGTTAAGATGGTTGGGATGGACAGGACTGTAACAGACCTATCTTTAATATATAAACCTGGTTAAGATGGTTGGGATGGACAGGACTGTAATAGACCTATCTTTAATATTTAAATCTTGTTAAGATGGTTGGGATGGACAGGACTGTAACAGACCTATCTGCCCGAACAGCTGTCAGAACGGGATATGTATATCCCCAGGAGTGTGCAGGTCTCATAGTCATTCTTTAATTATTAATTTAACAACTTAATTATATTGTCTGCAGTCACTAGGCCTCCTGCAGATTAAATCAGTAATTTCCCTGTGGATATAAAATTTCTATATTTTAATTCAAAAAATGCTTTTTTCCAGATCATAAATTGTATTCTTTAATTTCCAATATAGAAAACAAAACTTACTCTTTTGCAGATGTGAGATGGGTTACCAGGGTTCCACGTGTCAGAATTGTATAAAGATGCCGGGATGCAAGTTTGGAGATTGTATTACAGCTTTCCAGTGTAATTGTTTACCCGGATGGAGTGTAAGTTAGTAGAATATAAGATTTGAAATCGGAGTTTACATCTAATTAAGAAACATAGTTGAACTAACCACGGATTTAACGTAATAAAACTACATTTTTGTTTCGAAATAAAGAAATGTTTAAAGCTTTTTTAAATAATCAGTTAATAAATATTAAATCCGCTATCTTCGCTCTCTTTTTTCGCTCATTTTAGTTTTTGGATCTAACATTTTTATTCAATGCCATTGTGTTGCTTTTATAATATATGGGATCTCTAGTTACTAAGTATTAAATGGATTTCAAAGCTCTACGCCTATTCTATTAAAGAGACTCCAAGTTATAAACCTATTATAGTAAAGGGACTCCAAGTTCTACACCTATTATAGTAAAGGGACTCCAAGTTCTAAACCTATTCTGTTAAAGGGACTCCAAGCTCTACACATATTATATTAACGGGACTCCAAGTTCTACACCTATTATAGTAAAGGGACTCCAAGTTCTAAACCTATTCTGTTAAAGGGACTCCAAGTTCTAAACCTATTCTATTAAAGGGACTTCAAATTCTAAACCTATTCTATTAAAGGGACTTCAAGTTCTAAACCTATTCTAATAAAGTGACTGTAAGTTCTACACATTTCCTATTAAAGGGACTTTAAGTTCTACACCTATTCTATTCTATTAAAGGGAGTTCAAAGTTCTACACCTATTATATTGAAGGGACTTCAAGTTAAAAACCTATTATATTAAAGGGAATCCAAGTTATGAACCTATTATGTTAAAGGGACTTCAAAGCTCTACGTCTATTCTATTAAAGGGATCTGACTGCAGTATTCCAGAATGTGCTCCGGGTTGTTCGAAGGACTACGGATACTGTGAGGTTAACACTTTTTAAACTCAAACCAAACTTAACCAAGAATTTTGGCTTTTCTATTCGATAAATCAGAAACAAATCGAAAAAAGATATTCTTTGTTATTAAAATTACTTTATTTTTGTTTATTAAAGTGGCCTGGAGACTGTTTCTGTATACAAGGAGTTGGTTACCAGGGTCCAAACTGCACAGATTGCAAACCATTATCAGGTTATATTGTATTTGTACTTATCAAACTTCCTACACCCCCCCCCCCCCCCCCCCCCACCTCCCCGACCAAGACATGCAAATAACTTTACTCTTTTTAAATTGCTTATTAACCTTGTTTTTAAATCACAGCAAGGAATGGTTGCACTGCTAAAACATTACTCCAACTTACTTTTGGGACCTCACATGATGCAAAGTAATATTTATTAGTTAAATATAGTTTTTGCCACAAACTCATACTTTCGAATCTTTTAAACCTGATGATGTAAAACTTAAACATTTCAAGCTTAGATTTGTAATATCAAAGACGAAATTGTGTTAAAAAGTTTTTGGCAAGAACTCAGTTTCTTAATTCTTATTCTGATTAAAGGTTGTAAATATGGGACCTGTAATAAACCTGGACAGTGTATATGTGAGGAGGGCTGGACTGGAACACTGTGTGATATTCCAGTCTGTAGAGAAGGTTGCCATGAACTAAATGGACATTGCAGGTGGGTCTGCATTGGGGTAAAATTCCAAGTGTTTGGAGTAAAACTCTTAGCATTGGGAGTAAATTCCCAGTGTTTGAAGTAAAATTCCCAGTGCCTGCAGTAAAGTTCTTAGGGTCTGTGGTAAAATTCTTAGGGTCTGTGGTGAAATTCTTAGGGTCTGTGGTAAAATGTTTAGGGTTTAGAGTAAAATTCCTATGGTTCAGGAGTCAAATTTCTAGGGTTGGAAGTAAAGTTTGGCGTTCCGAACGATTGAAATTACTAAAACGTGTAAAAAGAGCATTTACGTTTGATTTAATTAATTCTTTGATAATAAATGAGAATAAATTATTTAGTGTTCCGAACGACTGTATCTGCAACAAAGGGTTTGAAGGCGAGCTGTGTGATAAGTGTAGTAGATATCCAGGCTGTGTTAATGGATACTGTAACTCACCCTGGCAATGCATCTGTAATCCGGTAAATCAAAAATTATGTTACAGGGATTAAAGACGTTTTTTCATGTAGTTCTAGGGAAATTTCCGATTTATAACGGTACCCTAGAAACCTTCGCCTGCACAAATAATAAGGAAGTCTTGTCGATTTTTACTAGAAGATGTTAAATTCTGATATTTCCCTGATTTTTCGACTTTGCATGAATCTGCAAGTCATTTTAAAGAAAAACTGTAATCGAAAAAACTAATTTAAACAAGAAAAAGAAGCATATCTTATGCATCCTTGATTAGGCACAAAAGGCTTAAAGGGAACACTTGTGAAATGGACATGCTACTCTATAATGGACATGCTACTCTCTATAAATGGACATGCTACTCTATAAATGGACATGCTACTCTATAAATAAATGGACATGCTACTCTATAAATGAACATGCCACGACAGTTCCTGTAATAAAGCCTCATTTCTGTTGATAGCCCTGTATATGTGTGTTCAGGGTTTCAAGGGATTTTTCTGCAATGAGACCACTGTATCCTTTAAATCCAACTATCCTATCCAACCTCCACTACAGTACAGTCCTCCATCTAGACCTGGAAATTTCAGGGGATAAAAGAATCTCAACATTTATAATCTCAGCTAGATTTGTATCAGCAACAGATTAAGATTTCTAAAATTTAAATTACAATAATTATAATTAATGGAAACGGTTCAGCCAATATTTACCGAATATTAACCTTAAAAACTTCTAAATTATGTTTGATGATGTCTTTTCGTGTTTTTCAATTATTGAATAAAGAATTAGTATTACTATGTATTATTTATAGAAATTATTAAAAATTTTATTTGTATTAATCATAATTCTGAAATAAACTATTTAATTTTTTTTTTGTTTTTTTGTAAAGTTATTGTAGCTATTAACTAACTAGTGGTAGATGTTAAAATGAATAGATGTAACAATAGCCTCATCTCTAACAATTTTTTAATACAAACTATATCTTAAACAACTGTTATTACTTTTAAGGATTTCTTTCCTCCTAAACTCATTCTTAAAAAAGAGATGCTAAAGTTAGAAAACTTCATTTTAAATGTTTCTTTGCAGTAAAACTTGATTTGGTCAAAATAATATTTTCAAACCCCGATCTGTTTTAATCTATAGATTTTTATCTACATATCATGTAGATTGTGACATGGAAACGCCTCAACAAGGAAACGGATCAAAAATTATTTTTGAGGAATTTCCGTATTTTTAGAAATTCAAGGAAATCCCTCAAAAGTTCAGAATTGTTGAGGGATTCCCGAATATTTTGTATCCGTTTTCCAATATTTATAGTTTAATGGTTTCCTCTTTTTTTGATCAATTTTCTCATATTTTTGATACGTTTCCGCTTTTTAAAAAGTTTTTGAAAAAAGCGGAAACAAATCAAAAATATGAGGAAACAGACCTTAAAATTTGAGGAAACTGATCAAAAATATGAGGGTACATATCAATTAAAAAGTTTTTGAAAAAAGAGGAAACGGATCAAAAAAATGAGGATACGTACCAAAAATATTGGGCCCCTCAAAAATATTGGGAAATCCCTCGAAAATATTTGAAAAAAATAAAGCGGAAACGGACATACAAATCTGGTAAATCGATCAAAAAAAGAGGAAACTCCTCAAAATTTTAATTTCGAGGGATTTCCGAAAAATTTGAAGAAATCACGGAAGCACCTCAAAAAAAACCTACTTTTGAGGGGTTTCCGCTTATTTTTGATCCGTTTTCGTGTTGAGGCGTTTCCTTGTCACCCATGAAGATGTAAGTAATTTTGAATCCATAAAATAATTATATCTGATGTGATTAAAGTACATCTAAGAAATCTTGAAACTTGCAAATGTTTTTATAAATTATCAAATTGAAAAGTTGAGAAGAGAATAAAAAATTTGTACTTTGAAAAGAACTAAACAGCTGTCTAGACAAACTCAAAATTTCTAATCTTTGCACTTTATCTTCCTCTAGACCTTAGATATTTCAAATTATGAATTCTGCTAGATCAAATAGAGCCAAAGTTTATGATATCAAAGTTTTAACCTTCAGGTTGCAAAGATTAATGGATAAGAAAATTATTTTTGCTGGAACTGTTCAGTTTCTCAGACCCTTAGACCTTTAGACCTCGATGCAAAGATGACAATGAACGATTCACAAAGCTTTATCGGATCAATAATGTGGAAGATATTTTCGTTTTTCTATTTTTAAAAGTATTTAATTCTGATAATTCCTACATTTTTTCCTGCAGTAGAACTTTACTTTTGTGAAGAAACCCCAATTGAAAAATATTAGTTTTCAAAATAAAAAACTGTGAAAATTGATCAGACCATTGTGAATTGCACAACGTGTCCCTATACAGAGAGACTTGGAGAAGTGATACAGTCCTCTAATACCAGTACGAAGATGGAGATTAATAGAACTTTTATCTGCAAGAACCAGAAATGTAATTTACTGTATCACATGTGAAAAGTGTAAATACATTGGAGACTTTAGGACTAAACTCATTTGTTTATGTCCAGTTCTTTAAAAAGATAAAATACTATCCTTTAATCCCCCCTCCTACCCCTCCTACCTTCCGTTGTAGATTTTAGATTTTGGTTGACCGGATGGGGAGGGAGGCGGCAAAATTCTGTTTTTGCTTTACCGGAGGAAGAAAAGTCCCGATTTTAGGGGGGATTTACGTTTATTTTAATTTCTGAGTTAAAGGATAAGTTTTTTAACCTTATTGAGCCCATTAAGAATAAAATCATTCAAACGACAACTAGATTATTTCTATTATTTATCTATTAAATCTCAAATAATACAATCAGTACTTAAATTGAAAAAAAAATACAGGACAGGAGTACAGAGTATGATATTACATGGTATAACAGGGTGTCCCAATAAAGATGAGAATTAAGTGACAACTTCTTCCCATTTTTGTGTTGCATTATTAAATATTACGTAATCACAATTTTGCATGGTTAAATAATAATAATAATAATATAATAATAATATAAATAATAATATAAAAATAATAATAATAATATAACAAGTTGCATGGTTAAATAATAAATTAACTTTCAAAACTAAAGGGAATACTGTGGTTCCGTGGTGTACAATTTGTTCACCTATAGAATTGAGATTAATGTAGATATTGATAACTCCGTCAAATTTGAAGATACACAGAAGGCAGACCACAATTTAAAAAGCTCATTAGACAAATAAATAAAATCATTTATAGATACATACATTGTTATCTATTTATTTATTTCACATTGTTTACCGGGAGACCATGTACCATGTACACTTACAGGTTACGCATGTATACAATATACATGTTACTGAGGTTACAGTAGAATAAAGGGTTAAAGTACTAGTACAGGGTAAAGGTCAGATCACATGGTAGTATAAATTTCCCTGGCAGAGGATAATTGAATTTGCTTACTGTCCCTTTTTGCCTTACAGTATGTATTTGTACTGTACAGCTTGCTCTCGGTGATGAAAAGTCGGCCAGATACAGGCGAGTTTACAGAGGTACAGAGAGCATGTACGTGTATAGTATAAGGCACATTGGTTAGGGGTTTACAGTTAGTACTGCAGGATAATGAGTACAAATAGAAGTAAATCGAGTACAGGGTATTTTCATATTGGAGAGCTGTAAAGTTTTAGGGTACAGGGTACAGAGCAGGGGGGGGTGGGGGCACAGAGCAATGTCAGCTATACACTATTGCAGAGTACAATTCACAGGTTCAGTCTACAGTACAAAGGTTTCAAAGTAGAGGGTGTACAGAGTACAGTGTAAAAAGTGCAGATTCGCGGGCACAATTATCAGAGTACAGATGACATAGAGCTAGTATTCATATATCATATAATCAAAAGGTACAATGGTTCAATGTTTTGTATAGAGTACAGGTTATAACATGGATCAGCCGCTACATGCAAAGAGTAAGGGAGGCTTACCAGAATCAAAATTGAGTAGCCTAATCCCGCCCCCTCTAGTCAACTTAAAACGATTTTATACTGCCTGCTTCCCCTTCCAGTAAACCAAAAACGATTGAATACAGCCTCCCTCCTTCTCCGGTAAACCAAAATTCTGTATTTACGGCCACCGCCAATGTAAAATTCAAAATGTACTCTCTAAAACTGGTTTGTAAATTGTCCACGTGGCCTCCTGGTTTCAGTAATCAGTCTAGTCTAGTCTTTCAAGCAAACACAAGTTGATCATTTATCATTATCGTGATTTCGTGAAGGATTGCCTAGTTAATCCCAGTTCACCCTAGTTCATCCCAGTTCTTCCCAGTTCATCCTAGTTCACCCTAGTTCACCTTATATCATCCCAGTTTATCCCAGTTCGTCCCAGAATATCCCAGTTCACCCTAGTTCATCCTAGTTCACTCTAGTTCATCCCAGATTATACCAGTTAATCCCAGTTCATCCTAGTTCACCTCAGTTCATCCCAGTTCACCTTAGTTCATCCCAGTTCACCCTAGTTCATCCTAGTTCACCCTAGGTCATCCCAGTTCTTCCCAGTTCATCCTAGTTCACCCTATTTCACCCTAGTTCTTTCCAGTTCATCCTAGTTCACTCTAGTTCATCCCAGTTTATCCCAGTTTATCCCAGTTCAACCCAGTTCATCCAAGTTCACCCTAGTTCATCCCAGTTCACCCTAGTAATCAGTCTAGTAATCAGTCTAGTCTAGTCTTTCAAGCAAACACAAGTTGATCATTGTATCATTATCGTGAAGGATTGCCTAGTTAATCCCAGTTCACCCTAGTTCATCCCAGTTCTTCCCAGTTCATCCTAGTTCACCCTAGTTCACCTTAGATCATCCCAATTTATCCCAGTTCGTCCCAGTATATCCCAGTTCACCCTAGTTCATCCTAGTTCACTCTAGTTCATCCCAGATTATACCAGTTCATCCCAGTTCTTCCCAGTTCATCCTACTTTATCCCAGTTCCCCTTAGTTCTTTCCAGTTTATCATTGTTCATCCCAGTTCATCTCAGTTCATCCTAGTTCATCCCAGTTCATCCTAGTTCATACCAGTTCATCCCAGTTCATCCTAGTTCATCCTAGTTCATCCCATTTCACTCTAGTTCATCCCAGTTCATCCCAGTTTCCCCTAGTTCATCCCAGTTCCCCCTAGTTCATCCTAGTACATTCCAGTTCATCCTTGTTCATCCCAGTTCATTCTAGTTCATCCTAGTTCACCCTAGTTCACCCTATTTCACCCTAGTACATCCCAGTTCACCCTAGTTCATCACAGTTTATCCAAGTTCACCCTAGTTAATCCCAGTTCACCCTAGTTCATCCCAGTTCTTCCCAGTTCATCCTACTTTATGGCAGTTCCCCCGTAGTTCATCCCAGTTCACCCTAGTTCACCCTAGTTGATCCCAGTTGATCCCAGTACATACCAGTTCATCCCAGTTTATCCTAGTTTACCCCAGTTCACCCCAGTTCTTCCCAGTTCGTCCCAGTATATCCCAGTTCACCCAAGTTCATCCCAGTTCTTCCCAGTTCATCCTACCTTATCCCAGTTCCTCCTACTTCATCCCAGTTCATCCTAGTTCATTTCAGTTTATCTTTGTTCATCCTAGTTCATCCTAGTTTATCCTACTTTATCCCAGTTCCCCCTAGTTCATCCCAGTTCATCCTAGTACATTTCAGTTCATCCTTGTTCATCCCAGTTCATCCTGTTTTATCCCAGTTCCCCCTAGTTCATGCCAGTTCATCCTAGTTCATTCCATTTATCCTTGTTCATCCCAGTTTATCCTAGTTCATCCCAGTTCATCCCAGTTTATCCTAGTTCACCCCAGTTCATCCCACATCCTAGTTTATCCTAGTTCATCCCAGTTTATCCTAGTTTATCCTAGTACACCCCAGTTCATCCCAGTTCATCCCAGTTCACCCTAGTTCACCTTAGTTCATCCCAGTTCATCCCAGTTCATCCTATTTTATCCCAGTTCCCCCTAGTTCATCCCAGTTCATCCTAGTTCATTCCAGTTTATCCTTGTTCATCCCAGTTTATCCTAGTTCATCCCAGTTCACCCTAGTTCACCCTAGTTGATCCCAGTTCATCCCAGTACATCCCAGTTCATCCCATTTTATCCTAGTTAACCCCAGTTCATCCCAGTTCTTCCCAGTTCATCCTACTTTATCCCAGTTCCCCCTAGTTCATCCCAGTTAACCCTAGTTCACCCTAGTTGATCCCAGTACATCTCAGTTCATCCCAGTTTATTCTAGTTCATCCCAGTTCTTCCCAGTTCACCCTAGTTCACCCTAGTTCACCTTAGTTCATCCCAGTTTATCCCAGTTTATCCCAGTATATCCCAGTTCACCCAAGTTCATCCCAGTTCTTCCCAGTTCATCCTACCTTATCCCAGTTCCTCCTACTTCATCCCAGTTCATCCTAGTTCATTTCAGTTTACCTTTGTTCATCCCAGTTCATCATAGTTCATCCTACTTTATCCCAGTTCCCCCTAGTTCATGCCAGTTCATCCTAGTTCATTCCAGTTTATCTTTGTTCATTCCAGTTTATCCTAGTTCATCCCAGTTCATCCCAGATTATCCTAGTTCACCCCAGTTCATCCCAGTTCATCCTAGTTTATCCTAGTTCATCCCAGTTTATCCTAGTTTATCCAAGTACACCCCAGTTCATCCCAGCTCATCCCAGCTCACCCTATTTCACCTTAGTTCATCCCAGTTCATCCCAGTTCATCCTATTTATCCCAGTTCCCCCTAGTTCATCCCAGTTCATCCTAGTTCATTCCAGTTTATCCTTGTTCATCCCAGTTTTCCTATTTCATCCCAGTTCATCCCAGATTATCCTAGTTCACCCTTGTTCACCCCAGTTCACCCCAGTTCACCCCAGTTCATCCCAGTTCATCCTAGTTCACTCTAGTTCACCTTAGATCATCCCAGTTTATCCCAGTTTATCCCAGTTCGTCCCAGTATATCCCAGTTCAACTAAGTTCATCCCAGTTCTTCCCAGTTCATCCTACTTTATCCCAGTTCCCCCTAGTTCATCCCAGTTCACCCTAGTTCACCCTAGTTGATTCCAGTACATCTCAGTTCATCCCAGTTTATCCTAGTTCACCCCAGTTCACCCCAGTTCATCCCAGTTCTTCCCAGTACATTTCAGGTCATCCTTGTTCATCCCAGTTCATCCTAGTTCACCCTATTTCACCCTAGTTCATCCCATTTAACCCTAGTTCATCAAAGTTCATCCTAGTTCACCCTAGTTCATTCCAGTTCTTTCCAGTTCATCCTAGTTCACTCTAGTTCATCCCAGTTCTTCCCAGTTCATTCTACTTAATCCCAGTTCCCCCTAGTTCATCCCAGTTCATCCCAGTTCACCCTAGTTGATCCCAGTATTATCAAGTTCATCCCGGTTTATCCTAGTTCACCCCAGTTCGCCCCAGTTCATGCCAGTTCATCCCAGTTCTTCCCAGTTCATCCTAGTTCACCCTAGTTCACCTCATTTTATCCCAGTTCATCCCAGTTTATCCCAGTTCACCCTAGTTCATCCCAGTTCATCCTACTTTATCCCAGTTCATCCTAGTTCATTCCAGTTTATCTTTGTTCATCTCAGTTCATCCTAGTTCACCCTATTTCACGGTAGTTCTTCCCAGTTCATCCTAGTTCACTCTAGTTCATCCCAGTTTATCCCAGTTTATCCCAGTTTATCCCAGTTCAACCCAGTTCATCCTAGTTCACCCAAGTTCATCCCAGTTCACCCTAGATCATCCCAGTTCACCCTAGTTCATCCTAGTTCACTCTATTTCATCCCAGATTATACCAGTTAATCCCAGTTCATCCCAGTTCATCCTAGTTCACCCCAGTTCATCCCAGTTCACTCTAGTTCATCCTAGTTCACCCTAGGTCATCCCAGTTCTTCCCAGTTCATCCTAATTCACTCTAGTTCATCCCAGTTCATCCCAGTTCATATTAGTTCACCCTAGTTCATCCCAGTTCTTTCCAGTTCATCCTAGTTCACTCTAGTTCATCCCAGTTCTTCCCAGTTTATCCTACTTTATCCCAGTTCCCCCTAGTTCATCCCAGTTCATCCCAGTTCACCCTAGTTGATCCCAGTTGATCCCAGTATATCCAAGTTCATCCCGGTTTATCCTAGTTCACCCCAGTTCGCCCCAGTTCACCCCAGTTCATCCCAGTTCATCCCAGTTCTTCCCAGTTCATCCTAGTTCACCCTAGTTCACCTCATTTTATCCCAGTTCATCCCAGTTTATCCCAGTTCACACTAGTTCATCCCAGTTCATCCTATTTTATCCCAGTTCATCCTAGTTCATTCCAGTTTATCTTTGTTCATCCCAGTTCATCCTAGTTCACCCTATTTCACCCTAGGTCTTCCCAGTTCATCCTAATTCACTCTAGTTCATCCCAGTTTATCCCAGTTTATCCCAGTTCAACCCAGTTCATCTTAGTTCACCCTAGTTCATCCCAGTTCACCCTAGATCATCCCAGTTCACCCTAGTTCATCCTAGTTCACTCTATTTCATCCCAGTTCTTCCCAGTTCATCCTAATTCACTCTAGTTCATCCATGTTCATCCCAGTTCATCCTTCAAGAATTAATAATCAAAAGTGAATATTTTCAATTTTTTTTACAAATTATAACCTGAGTTAATTTCCTGTTTAAAAAAAAGTTTTTTGTTTATTTTCTTGTGATTTTTAAAATTTTTTTTTACAGTTTTAATTATTGATTGATGGTTATGATGGATGGTTAGTGTATTTCATATTTTAAATCTTTATTTTTAATAGTGCAACTATAACACCTATACTTTATTTACTCTATGAAGTTTGTATCTTCATAAACGCCAAATTTTAAATCGTGCAAGTTTTATAACAATTTAAAGATTTTAAGAAAATATTTGTAATACTTTTTTTCAAATGTAGATTTTTTTTATTTTGTAAAATTGGTCACATTATTCTCCTGATTTCCCCAATCAACATTTGAGGCAAATCGGTCCAGGAGTTTATGAGTTATGATCGGAAATTGGTCAATAAATTCATATGCAATGTATGTTAGAGGAATAAAAAAAATTGAGTGAAACTCTTCAGCAGGTGTAATTTGGGCGAAACATGAGTTGGGTGAATCGTAATTTGGGTGAAACGTAGTATTGAGTGAAAAGTGAATTGGGTGAAACGTTATTGGGTGAAACGTATTTCACCTAAAATTGGGTGAAACGTTTTGGGTGAAATGTGATTGGGTGAAACGTGATTGGGCGAACTGTTACCACACCGCAAAAATATTTGTTTATAATTCTGCATTGCACATATTTTTTACTTTTATGGAACGAGCAAATAATTTCACTTTACATTCAGAATAGTTGCAAATGCAGCTAATTCTGTTAATTCTTTCAAGTATACTGGATTGGGGAGTTTCCTGGAACATTTTTGTTATCTGGGGGTTCAACACGATTCCTTAAAGTCCACAGGGTCATAAATATGGACTTGGGAGTCTACTAGGACCTCACCACGAGTTTCCTGGGTCTTCATCACGGAAGTGGGAGTTTCCTGGGTCCTCATCACGGAAGTTGGAGTTGCCTGGATCCTCATCAAGAAAGTTGGAGTCTCCTGGGTCCTCATCAAGGAAGTGGAAGTCTTCAGGGTCGTCACCACGTACGGAAGTGGAAGTCTCCATGGGTCCTCATCACGGAAGTGGGAGTCTCCTAAGTCCTCATTACGGAAGTGTGAGTCTCCTGGGTCCTCAACACTGAAGTGTTAGTCTCCTGGGACCTAATCACGGAAGCGTAAGTCTCCTGGGTCCCAATCACGAAAGTGTGAGTCTCCTGGACTTTAATCACAGAAGCAAAGAGAATAGAATATATATTAGAGTGGTATTTAGACAATCCCTGGGTATGAATTTTGTCAGTCCCTTTCAGCCTGAAAGGGAGTTCAAAGTGTACAAATCATGTAAATGTTCACAAATAATATGCAGTAGAGTACATTAATACAGTATGTTCCCTAGACTATCCATTTAAATTTCAAATTTTTTAAAGCTGTTAAATAAACTTTATAAAATAAATTAGGTGAATAAAAAACATCAATTGATTTATAGTTATAAGTGAAAATCATCGTTTGTAAAGTGAAAGGCACAGAGTCTATGTGAAATGATCATTGGTCAAATATGAAAGCAGCATATTTCATTTCTTTTAATATTAATTTTAGATTTTCTATAAAATGATGTTCCAGGGCCCAAAAGGTTATATAGCACAAATACGTGAAGTACACCTGCAGTATGGAAACAGTACAACAAAATGGCCGTTTTATAATTTGTTCTAGTAAATTCCACTCTAATATATATTATATTCTCTTTGCACAGAAGTGTGAGCTCCGGGGCTTTAATCACAGAAGTGTGAGCTCCTGGGACCTCACCAAGCAAGATAATTCTAAATATAACTGTTCTCATCTGAGCACAAAATACAGAAGAACGAGTAAATTGCATTATCACAAATACTATATACATTTTTTGCCCTCTATCTGGCTAAAACATTGACTATCAGTCTAAAGCATTGACTTCTGTCTAATAAAATGTTTGTCTGATTATCATTTTGTCCTTTCTAAAATTTGTACTTTCTAATATTTGTCCTGTCTGGTTTAGTTTATCAAAAAATCCCTAAAATTTATTTTTTTCTCACTGTGTCAAAATATAAATATTAAATTTCAAAAACAATTTTCTGTTAAAATCAAATAAAGTTTTATTAATAACAAACACTACGTTTCATTTCCTTTTTTATGAGATATTTGTTTTCCCGGGAAAGTGTCCAAATCAGCAAAATCAGTTTTCTTCTTATGATAAACTTCAGATTCGGATCAATTCAGTTTCCAACTCAAAACTAGAAGCATGGTAAGTGTTAAGCAAACAAACCCAAATACAGTGGTACGGTATTATATCAATTCAATGAAGACGACTTTTTAAATAAGTTTTAATTGTTTACAAGCTTTTTCGAATTATAGGTTTACAAGTAATTAAAAAGAAGCTTTTTTATCCAAATCTTCTCTTTTTTTCATTTTTATGTGTATCTATGCTGTTTGAAATAAATCAAAATTCGTCTTCATCGTATTTATATAATCGCCTACCACTGTAGTAAACTCAATCAGAGATGATCATTTTTGTAATGGACAAAATGAAGTCCAGGAATTCAGCTGCATAACTCGATATCTATGAATTCAGTTGCTGAACTCGATATCCAGGAATTCAGCTCCTTAACTTGATATCCAGGAATTCCACTGCTGAACTTGATATCCAGGAACTTAGCTGCTGAACTTGATATCCAACATTTAACTACTAAATTTGATATCCAGGAATTCAGCTACTGAAATAGATATCCAGGAATTCAGCTGCTGAACTTGATATCCAGGAATTCAGCTACTGAAATAGATATCCTGGAATTCAGCTGCTGAACTTGATATCCAGGAATTCAGCTGCTGAATTTGATATCCAGGAATTCAGCTATTGAAATTGATATCCAGAAGACAAACTTTAAAGATGAGTCGGGTTCAACTTCTAAAAAGAATTGAGTCTTTACCACAAACTCAAATTTTCTAATTACTTATTATTATGTTGAACTTAGATTATTTAATCTTACGGAATTCTATACTTTGAAATATCTAAGCTCTACGACATTACGTTGTATAGATAAAGGAATAAGAAAATCAGAGTTTTTGTAAATACTCAAAGAAATTGACAAAACATTTCAAAGTGAAACTTGGCTTTAAATGTCTCTTTACTATTCACAACACTGGCTCATAAACCTGTAATTGAGAATTGGTTGATTGGAAATCGTCGTTTCAAGAATATGACAAAGTTACTAAGGTTTTTATCACAACTCTAATTTTCTATTCCCTTTATCTTTGGAAAATGATGCTGTAGACCTTTGTTATTTCAAACAATAAATTCTCTTGGATCAAATCGTTTAAGTTTGAAATATCAAAGGTTTACACCATCATGTTGCAAATATTTAAGGATGAGAAAATTTAAGTTTCTTGTAAAAAGTTCTTTTTGGTTATTTCATTATATTTTCTGCAGTAACCTAAAAGGTGCTTTTTGGAATTTGTAGGTTTTATAATTCGTAAAAGTAAATATGTCGTTTCATAAGTTCTAAATAAGCCAGTTGGGAATCAATTACGGTAATTTTGATTAAACGTAAACCTTTTATACAAAGGAACTGAACACTTGCCTGAAACTACAATTTTCTAATCTTCTTGAAATTAATGATATTATGGAGACCTTTTTTAATTCAAACTGAATTTATTAGATTGTATATTGTTCCACAACATTTGAAGGTTGCAAAGTTACGTGGATAAGAAAATTGGAGTTTTATGAAATTGTTCTTTCCGTTTCTTCTATACAATAACAACATATTTATTTTTTAGGGTTTCGTTTTGGCGTTCCTAATTTTAGGTCAAAGTAGTTTATCCTTGGGACAAAGTGGGTAAGATAAATAATAGGAAAATTCCAGTCATAAACTTAATACAACAAATTGTTTAGTTCTATGTCCATGAATCCGGTTTGGAACTGGATCTATGCTGATGTAAGGCACGGAGTATTATTATATTGAGATGGAGTTGATCTGGGCGCCATGCCACTTGAAGACAGTCCGCCATTTATATCAAGTCGTCTTCTCTGGCCCTATTCTTTTAGAATATTTTCATTAATCTTTCACAAAATACTAAAGTTTCAATCTTTTCCAACGGGTCTACAAAATTTAACAAAATATGCATCAACTATTAAAACCAGGTCGGCTTTACAGTGCCCTTGGTTTTTAACTTGTTTAATGATTGTGTAAGTTGTATCCGGCATAATTTCACAATTTTCAATAAATATTCGCTTAAAACTATGCATTTAAATTAGTACCTTTTGATTCCTATCCATTAAACATACTTCGTGCTGGCAGATGTCAGCCCTACTATCTGGAGCACCAAGATCATTATTTCTGTACCCCATCAGGCAGAGTCATGTGTCTAGGTAGGATGGAACTTATTCATATTTTTAATTTTTTATTAGGATTAATCTAGTTTGGCTTTGTTTGATGGTTGGGACGGAGAGGATTAGTTAAGTATTGTATTTAGATTGTTGGGAAGGGTAGGATTAGTTTAGTCTTGTATCTAGATGGTTGGGACGGAGAGGATTAGTTAAGTATTGTATCTAGATGGTTGGGAAGGGTAGGATTATTTTAGTCTTGTATCTAGATGGTTGGGACGAAGAGGATTAGTTTAGTCTTGTATCTAGATGGTTGGGACGGAGAGGATTAGTTTAGTATTGTATTTAGATTGTTGGGAAGGGTAGGATTAGTTTAGTATTGTATCTAGATGGTTGAGACGGAGAGGATTAGTTAAGTATTGTATCTAGATGGTTGGGAAGGGTAGGATTATTTTAGTCTTGTATCTAGATGGTTGGGACGAAGAGGATTAGTTTAGTCTTGTATCTAGATGGTTGGGACAGAGAGGATTAGTTAAGTATTGTATAAAGATGGTTGGGAAGGGTAGGATTAGTTTAGTATTGTATTTAGATTGTTGGGAAGGGTAGGATTAGTTTAGTATTGTATCTAGATGGTTGGGAAGGGTAGGATTAGTTTAGTATTGTATCTAGATGGTTGAGACGGAGAGGATTAGTTTAGTATTGTATCTAGGTGGTTGGGACGGAGAGGATTAGCTAAGTATTGTTTTTAGATTGTTGGGAAGGGTAGGATTAGTTTAGTATTGTATCTAGATGGTTGGGACGGAGAGGATTGTAAGATTCCAATCTGTCCGTATGGATGTAACAACGGAGAATGTGTAGCTCCAAATACCTGCAGGTTAGGATCAAGTTTCTTCCCGATTAGTTTCCTGACTCCGTTCGTTTAAAAAAAATGGAAATTGACATGAAAAAGCTTGGTTCGTTTTCATCTTCATGTTGTTATTCATGTTACAGTGGCTTGTTTTGGGTATGTTGTTATATTCACGAAACTTTTTAATTTACATCGATTTTTGGGAGGATTTCTTAATTTTTCTTTCAGTGAACAGTCGCCATGCACAAATTTTTGTCTTCTATTCCTTATGAAATTGAGTCTTTCCCTCAAAGTCTAATTTTCTAATCCCTTATATCTTTTCAACCTGATGGTGTAAATCTTTGATATTTCAAAACTATATTATTTGGTCCAACAGAATTCATAGTTTGAAATATCAAAGATCAGAATTTGTGACAAAAACTCATTTGCTTTGCACCCTATAATGTTGTATACCTTTTATATTTAAAGATTACGAATTCTGTTCGATTTAATATTCTATGATTGAAAGATTTACACCATCTGCAGGTTGTGAAGATATAGAGATTTGAAAATTATAGGAATTAATGGCAAGTTATTATTTAGATTATTATTTGCAGATGTGAGATGGGTTATCAGGGTTCCACGTGTCAGAATTGTATAAAGATGCCGGGATGCAAGTTTGGAGATTGTGTCAAAGCTTTCCAGTGTAATTGCCTGGAAGGCTGGAGTGTAAGTTCTCAAAAATATTTGAAGATTTCACTTTTAGAAAAAATCGAACTTACTCGAAAGCATTTAAGCAATTAAGGTCATTTTGTTCGGAAGTACGGTCAGAATGTTATGGATATAAAATTGTGTGATATATTTAACAAAGTGATCATAATTTCGAAATAAATTATAGGACTTAGCATTGTTTGAAATAGCGCTTAGCTACGTCCAGTACTGCGTAAAGATTTTAAGATTGATTCCAGAAATACGTAAAAAAAATCCTCAGGAGATAAACAACAACTCCGTTCGGTTCGCTTTCAAATTCAAACGTGTTGACATCAGATTGTAAAAACGGAATGAATATAATTGTTGTCTATAATAAAGGGGTTGGATTGCAGTGTTCCTAAATGTTCTCCAGGATGTTCTGAGGATTATGGATATTGTGAGGTAAAAAATATTAACATTAAAGCAATCTTTTTCATTTTCAATTTAATTGATGTTGGTCCTATGATGTTTAACAAGAAACTTTATAAATCTAATTAAATATAGTATTATAATTTTTTTTTAAATGTTTATTACAATTGTACAATGTTTTAAAATGCAAATAATAAAATGACAGGTTTTATTGTAAATGCATGTATATTGTATATTATGGTAGTGGCCTGGAGAATGTGCCTGTATCCATGGTAGTGGATTTACAGGAGAGAACTGCACTGAGTGTGCTACTATGGCAGGTATTATCTATATAATAAAACAAGACATTCGTATACGTATATTTTGTCTTTAGCCGGCCAAACGGCTTGACCGATTGGGCTGAAATTTTTTGGGGACACTCATGGGTGGCCAGGGGGTGCTATAAACTAAAAAATTCGAATTAAAAAAAAATTTATAATTTTCCTCCAATTTTTCTTCTTCATTTTTTTCCACGGGCAACGCCGGGCCCTTCAGCTAATATCTAATATTTTCGAATCTCAGAGATATATTTTCAGACTACAATATCTTAATAACATTGTAATAGTTTATTTGCCGGTTAAGTGAACAATCTCTTTAATTTTATTATTTCTATTTTAGGATGCAAGCACGGTTACTGTAATAAACCTGGCCAGTGTATATGTGAGGATGGTTGGACTGGAACATTGTGTGATGATCCAGTCTGTAGAGAAGGATGTCATGAACATAATGGACATTGCAGGTTTCTTTCTTATTCTTTACAAACTTTACTAACACCCGACTGACAACAATACCCTATAATAAACCTTTGTCTGAAGAAGGATGTCAAACATATCTTTATGAATCCACGGAAACGCTTTTAATTGCTAAATATTTAAGAAATATAAATAGCTATGCTCTAAAAGTGTCAAAAAATTAAAAGGAATTGAGTCTTTGCCACAAACTCAAATGTTGAAACCCCAATATCTTTAGAACCCGATGTTGTAAACCTTTGATATTTCAAACTCAAGTTATTTGATTTAACAGAATTCATAGTTTGAAATATCCAAGGTCTACAATATTTGGTTCCAAAGATTAGAAAATCCGAGTTTGTGGCAACGACTCAATTCCTTTACCTTTGAATGTCTAAAAACCGCTCGATGAACAGTTAAATGTTTCATGATGGCACCGTTGTAAATCGTGCATTGCTCTCTTTGTATGGAAACAAGCACCTCGGACCCTTCAGTAAAAGTAAATTAAACCTAAAGTCTGACAACGTCATATTGAGTGCCTACTTTATTTACCCAATGTCCGGCCGATACAGTACAAACTGGGACCGGAAAGGTTGTCCCAGCTCGGAAATTCAAATGTACTACGGCTGCCCGCGGAGAGTCTTATATTTGCATCTTATTATGGAGTGTTGCAAAAATTGATAATTTAATAATGAAAGAGACTGTTCACGTAATTATAAGTGACCCAAAAGAATATCACTTATCCAAAACGATTCTATGAACCTTTGTTTAAGCAAAATGCTTTTAAGGAACTGAGTCTTTGCCACAAACTCTGATTTTCTAATCCCTTTAACTTTGCAGCCCAGTGTCATAGACCTTAGATATGTCAAACTAAGAATTCTGGTAGATCAGATGAGCTCAATTGAAATATCAAATGTTTACGCTAACAGATTTCAAAGACATAGAGATTAGAAAATTTGACTTTAGACTCAAGACTCAATTCCTTTCCTTGTTTTTTTTTTTCTAAATGAAAATTAAGAAAAACGATTATTGTTGCTCAAACTTAAATGTTTAACCATTGAAAATTTATATATTTTTGATAGATAACAGAATATAATAAATACGTATTTTTTATTTCTATTTCAGTATTCCAAATGACTGTATCTGCAATACTGGTTACAAGGGTGATCAGTGTGAACAGTGTGCTACCTATCCAGGCTGTATTCATGGATACTGTAATACTCCCTGGCAGTGTATATGTCACCAGGTAAAGGGAGTGTGCCACCTATCCAGGCTGTATTCATGGATATTGTAATACTCCCTGGCAGTGTATATGTCACCAGGTAAAGGGAGCGTGCCACTTATCCAGGTTGTATTCATGGATACTGTAATACTCCCTGGCAGTGTATATGTCACCAGGTAAAGGGAGCGTGCCACCTATCCAGGTTGTATTCATGGATACTGTAATACTCCCTGGCAGTGTATATGTCACCAGGTAAAGGGAGCGTGCCACTTATCCAGGTTGTATTCATGGATACTGTAATACTCCCTGGCAGTGTATATGTCACCAGGTAAAGGGAGCGTGCCACCTATCCAGGTTGTATTCATGGATACTGTAATACTCCCTGGCAGTGTATATGTCACCAGGTAAAGGGAGTGTGCTACCTATCCAGGCTGTATTCATGGTTATTGTAATACTCCCTGGCAGTGTATATGTCACCAGGTAAAGGGAGTGTGCCACCTATCCAGGCTGTATTCATGGATACTGGAATACTTTTTTTAATTGATTTTCAATTTTGGAATTTTTTCAATGCCAAACCGCAAACTTAAATTTATAAAAAAGAAGTTTTACTTGTTAGTAGCAATAGACTTGAAAATTTCCCAAATGACCAAATGGGAATTTGGGAAATTTTTCAGGAATAGGGATGTATCCATCTGCTTGCTATTTTTATTCATTTGGAATACTGGATATTTTTTCATGCTTAAACTAAATATTTTTTCAAGGATAAACAGGATATCTGGATTTGGATATTTCGAGGCATATATTGGATATTTTTTTCATGATTATACTAAATATTTTGTTCAGGGATATACTGGATATCTTTTATCTGGATTTGAATATATCAAGGCATACATTGGGTATTTTTTCATGATTGTTCTAGATATTTTGTTCAGGGATATACTGGATATCTTTTATCTAGATTTGGATATATCAAGGCATATATTGGATATTTTTTTCATGATTATACTGAATATTTTGTTCAGGGATATACTGGATATCTTTTATCTGGATTTGGATATATCAAGGCGTACATTGGATATTTTTTATGATTATACTAGATATTTTGTTCAGGGATATACTGGATTTTTCTGCAATGTAACTTCAACAGGATAATTTCAATTCTTCTGTGAGACACTAAAACAGAATTTTTTAGTTTGTGTAACAATTAATGTTTTATAATAGAATAAAAATATATTTGACGTGTGACAAAACCTACTTCTTATTTTTTATTGCAAGGGACTGTAGGCGCAATTCAAGTGACCCTCCATGTAAAGAGATGGCAACAATACCCTTGAAACCTTAATCTCATCAAAAATGTGGAAGATGGAAAATACCGTCGTTTTTCTGACTTGAAGAGTGTTTAATTCTGATACTTTCTCCATTCCTTCTTTTAACCAAGAAATGCGCAAGTCACTTTCGCCGAGAAACGGCAAATCGAAAGCTAGCTAAAAGAAACAAAAACATGGATATCTAATTCATGCTTGACAAGACAGTTTTTAGAAATTCATAAATTCATAAATTAATTGTCATTGTTTAATTCATATATATCAAAGATAAACGTCTTCCACTGAAAGCAAAACTTAAATGTTACTTTTATAATGAATGAGAGAGAGGTCTTGAGAACTTCGGAAGATGTCTTGAAATGTTTTAACTGAGTCCGAAAAATTCCGACATTAATGAGACTAATAATGAGAATAAGTAAATATGAATATCCGTATATTTCGTATGATTTCTCAGTTTATATATATTGCTAATACCCCGTAATCCCCGAGAATGATAAGCCCAGTGTATTGTTAACACCAGGGTAACATCAGCATAAAGCATTATACCTAGTCATGATGAGACATAAATATATAAAAAGTATTGAGTGCAGAAAAACAGTGAAAAACATAAGATTTAAAGATTATTTTTCTCCATAAAATGTCCAATGTTAGTTGTCATTTAAAACATTTCTTTTTTATGTCTAAAATTTCAAGTCTTTAGATATTAACAGATATCTAAAAGTTTTAAAATCGGGTCAATTATGTTACTTTGTAGAGTCGCCAGGCCTTTGCCTTAACATGTACAATTTAAAACTGAAGTGAACTTTTTTTTTAGCTTCAGATTAAATTCAGCAATTTGAAAAATCCTGATAAAGTTTGGGAGAAATGTGAATATTTTGTGTCACAGTGATGTGGAGAATAAACTTCATATTTTGTTTTTTTTTATAAAGTTCATGAATGTATAAAATTTAACGTTAATACAACGTTATTCATCGGTATTGACAGAATTATGATAATGCAAATAATTTCTTATAAAAAGCTTCGATATATGTACTTAAAATAGAAACACTAAGAAAGTCCCATAACAATCATAAATCTTGAGTAAATAATAAAATTAGATTTTGTTTTAATCTGATATTAATTTCCATCAAACAATTACAAACCTGTTAAAACTTATGAAAAACCATTTTAATTTTAAAGGGACAGACCGGCTATGTAAGGTAGTTGAACTGAGTATTCAGTGCAGTTGTGGACAAATTCTTTAGGATTCATTTGAGACATATAAAACTTTTTAAAGATCTGTAAATCCTGAGTTTGAGCGCAAAATCAACGTTCAAAAGCGTACTTTTGGGTGGATACGTTTTCAGAATCGGTTTTTTTAAAAACTATTAATTATACAGTAATTTAATCAGATGGTTAGGAAAATATTTCTCAAAATAATTTTTTCAATAAATCAATGTTAGAATCATTAATTTCGCTTTCATCATTATATTAAATTTCATATTATCTTTTAATGTATTTGCAGATATCTTCAAATTCTTCAAATGCCGTCTTTTCAATAATAATTCAAGAAAATTTGCATAAAATCTTTGTGAAAATAGAAACTAATAATTGAAGAAGATTACTTATTTTCGATGATAGGATTCATTTTTATTTTCTCAACCTGTTTCTGAACAAAAGTACAATTTTGAACGTTGACGTTGCGCTCAAACTCAGGATTTAAAGATCTTTAAAAAGTTTTAAATGTCTCAAACGAATCATAATAAATTTGTCGACAAAACTGCATACTCAGTTTAACTATAACTTTACATAGCCGGTCTGTCCCTTTAACGGACACCCTATTTAAAGAGGAGGCATATGTCGGACTCACAACAGTTTCCTTAAAAGGTTTGTCTTACCACGAATGCATTAGATATTCAATGTTTAGCTCTTTAAATGTAAAGGGTACTGTTGTAATTCGGATATATCACACTCTATTAATGGAGGGTCAGTAGAAATTACGTTTACAGACCCTTTAATAACCTTTAAACGAGTCCCCCAAGAAGAGTGGTCAGTAATGTGAATAGAGAAGTAAAGTAAAAAAAGTAAATTGAAATTTGATTAAAAAACGGATATGAAATTTTTAATAAATACGTGTAATAAATGTATAGCTTATGGGTATATTTATAAAAAACATTAAATACAAAAAAAGTTTTTAATTATTTTTCAGATCGAATAATAAACAAATTATGAGACTGGAGATATTTAAAAGATAAAAACTTGAGAAACTATATTATTATAGATGATTTATTTTATATTTCTCAGCCTGCTTCTCATCTCAAGTGTAGCTCCACAACAAAGGCAAGGACAAATTAATGTTTAGACGTAACGTACCCTTCATGTAAATAGTGGAATGTCTGATTCACAACGGTAGCTCTGAACCCTCTTTGAGTTCACCTTGGACTGACCAGGACGAGATGCCTTCGATTTTTTTTTCTATTTAAATTCAATCTAAATTTTATCTAAAACTCAACCATTTTTAGATTTACAGACTACTGAGTTACCTTCCTTTCCTTTTTAATTTTAATCCATTCCGCCGACAAAAAAGTATAAAAGAGAATAAGTGAAAACCTTGTATAAGGACCGAACTGTTAAATTGGCGTGAGTGAATTTTATGAAAAATTTTGTTTTTAGTTCTATCTTTAAAAACGTTAAATTATGACAATATCCGTAATAATCTTTTCCCTTTAATGCACCAGTCACTTTTTTAGAATAACAAAAATTGAGACTTATGGATTATGAGTTTTAGCCACTAACTCTAATTTTCTTACCCCTATATCTTTGGAACCCGATGTCGTAGACCGTTGATATATCATACTTTGATTTCTGCTCGGCAAATAGAATTAAGTTTGAAATATCAAAGGTTTGGGACAATGGGTTCCAAAGATACAGCGGTTAGAAAATCAGAGAATGCATTTTCAAATTGCAGCTAGAAAAAATAAATAATCTCCTTGTTCCTTGATCAGACAACATCGGAAATGTCACATTTAAACTTGAATTTACGTCTAAACACATACTTTACATAATAGTTTTAGAGCTGAAGTAGCGGTGATACTGGGGGGTATTTCTGTTTATCTGTTTAGAGATGAAGTAGCGGTGATACTGGGGGGTATTTCTGTTAGAGATGAAGTAGCGGTGATACTGGGGGGTATTTCTGTTTATCTGTTTAGAGATGAAGTAGCGGTGATACTGGGTGGTATTTCTGTTTCTTCAAATACTTCACATGCTGGAGTCAACTTTGTGGAGGTGTATTCCACTAAGAAAGGTTAGAAGAGTTAGAATGTCAAATTATTTTCTAATACTTTTATTTTATTTTATTTTCCAGTTTGATACAAAAATATTGATATAATAACAGGCATTTTTGAAGTATTCACAGCATTCATGAGCGAGTTAGTGTATATCATATCTAAATAAATCAGTTTTATGTCCCAAATGCATTGGTCTATATTTGTTAAGGTTATGTTTTTTTCTTAGCATTCAAAAATTTGAATACGAATGAATAAAGCAAAATAATGCTTTTTTTGCTTTTGATAATTTAGTTAAATTACAAGTTTACGTCATTTAATCAAGAACTTTTAGATTTTATGCTAAACTCAATGTTTTTAGATTCTTGCGCTAAATCTGCGAAACTTCCGGATTTACCAGTTGCTGTCAGGAATAGCGAAATAAAAATGGATTTCAGTTCAAGACAAATTACTGCAATAAAATTGAATACATTGCCACAAACTCAAATTTTCTAATCTCTATTCTTAGCAACCTGAGCTGAAAACTTTAGAATGTGATATCCTTAATCCCGATCTGTTAATTAATCTGGAGATTAAATTTATGAGGAAAACATGCAATATTTAATCTGGAGATTAAGAAAAAGAATGGATCAAGCATTAATCCCGATATCCACCATTCTAAAGTTCCCAGCTGTGAACATATAATCCTTTGAGATTTCAAACTTAGATTATTTGATTTAAAAAATTTCATAGTTTGAAATGTCTAAGGTCTACGACATTGGGTTGAAAAGATATTGAATTAGAAAATCAGAGTTTGTGGCAAAAACTCAATTCCTTTATTCTAATCCAAACTCAATCAAGTATTACATTTGACCCTCTAAAACTCAGCGTTTTTGGAAAGGCTTAAACTTTGAGGTTATCTGCATCAGATAACAACAGTTTATTAAACTGTTATTTAAATAAAAATACCTAGATATTAAACCCCCGTTTCTTTGCGATCTTTAGGTGGCATATCAACAATCTCTCAAAATCTGCAGTAAACTTTTTTATGTAAACAATAGGGATCTATTTTCCTTTAATCCTTTTCAAGGCTTGTCAGAAACATTTTCTATTTCTGAAAAATCTACAATTATTGAAATAATACTTTTACTAAACTATGTATTTGTAGAGAACATAAATTTCTAGACAAAGGACTTGAGTCTTTGTCACAAACTCAAATTTTCTAATTCTTATATTTTAGCAACTTGATAGTGCAAACTTTTGATATTTCAAACTTAAATTATTTGATCTACCAGAATTCACAGTTTTAAATATCTAAGGTCTACGGCATTGGGTTGCATAGATATAGGGATTAGAAAATTTGAGTTTGTGGCAAAGACTTAAATCCTTTCTTTTAGCAAAAAAATTTTATTTCAAAATATTTTAGAGACCTGTCAGCATTATATTTAGAGGAAGGTGGGACGACTACAAAAATAATACATTTTTTGTTTAAATTAATCAAAGTCGATTAAAGTTATAATCTTTTCAATTCATTTAGTATTTATCCCTTATTTGACCTAATTAAATTGATCTTTTAATCGGCTTTATTAATCAAATGGATCTCTATGTTCCACCTAAAAATCAAAATTGATCTCATACTTTTGTTATAGAAAACGTTATTGTTATAGAAAACGCTATTGTTATAGAAAACGCTATTGTTATAGAAAATGTTATTTTTATAGAAAACGATATTGTTATAGAAAACGTTATTGTTATAGAAAAAGCTATTGTTATATAAAACGTTATTGTTATAGAAAACACTATTGTTATAGAAAAAGCTATTGTTATAGAAAACGCTATTGTTATAGAAAACGCTATTGTTATAGAAAACACTATTGTTATAGAAAACGCTATTGTTATAGAAAACGCTATTTTTATAGAAAACGCTATTGTTATAGAAAACGCTATTGTTATAGAAAAAGCTATTGTTATAGAAACGCTATTGTTATAGAAAACGCTATTGTTATAGAAAACGTTATTGTTATAGAAAAAGCTATTGTTATATGCGGAGGAACATGGGACGCCCCTGAGATGATCACCTCTAGGTAAAACTAGTGGAAATATGGCTCGTTTTTTTGTTGGGGCACTAACACTAACATTGTATTAGTTTTACTTTTAAATTCAAATATCCATCAAATAATGGACAAACAGTATCTGCTCATTTGTAATATTTGTGTGATGGTTTATGTACTAAAGTTGTAAAGGCTAAATCTGAATTTAAAATGTTTAGTACACAAAGTGTTGAACTTGGAGGAATCTACAATGGAAGTAATCAAAGGTAAAATATAAAAAATGTCCAAATAATGAATATGTTTAATTCCTAATGTAAACATTTTTCAAATTCTACATTCGACGCCGTTTCATCGCTTTGTTTTTAGCATCACTTTATTTTTTAAAGAAACAGATAAAATAATGTATGATTGATAAAAATTAAGTATTCTATCTTCTAAAAATTAAATATGTTCAGTCCTCATGAAAATACAACTTTCTTCTGCAAAGAGAAGAATGAAAAAACATGCCCAGGTAATAAAAACAGATTTTTCAGTCTTACAGTATTCGGATATTGTCGAGTTTGTGATTTTTGATTCGTTCCTTGGATTAAGATCTTATTTGTGTCAATCATAACTCTATTGTTAGAGTGCTTAAAATATTTTTAATTTCAAATATTTATCCGCGAAATTGGCGTGATTTGGAAGCTTTATTGATAAATGGCTTATATAGCTGTATAAAGACGACTGCAAGTCGTCTTTATGAAGCGTTATATTATCTAGAAAATGAAACTGCAGATTTAGAATTTTAAACAGATTATTCAAATGCGACTTTTAATCAACGCAAAAAATGCTATTCATATAACTGCAATATTCTGCAGGGGGAGATGGTAATTACTGGAGTTGGCAGGATACTGATATTAAACTTGGAAACTTTGTGTCTCCATCCTGCACTACTTTCAAGGCAGAATATGTTTCAAATATGAGACCTCGACATAAATTAAAAATCAAATATTTGTTCATTCTTTCTTTTTAATCATTGTAAGATATTTAAACTTTTATGAGAAAACCCCTGTAACTTCTGCATCAAGTAAAACCATCATGAACGGACATTTTGAAATATTCGGGAAACTTAACGCTTAGTACTCTAATACGTACTAGCTTTAACAACGTAGAGATATTTTTTATCCGGATGCACAAGGGTACCCTTAAAACTATGTTTGAAGATGACAACTCAATGCAAAGAGGGCAATGGTACCCTTTAAAACTTCGACTATTCATCAATTACAAAGAGCTCAGTATTTAAATTTCTTAAAAACTGCTTAAATTCTGTAATCCCTGGTGTACGCTGCGTATTACATAACACGATTTTAACTAAAATTCGAAAGAAAATGCGTTTTTTTCTGCTACGTACAAAAAAACTTTTTTTAAATTTAAACGGCAATTACACACAAAATGTTTAACAATTTAAAGGGTTTCTGTAGAATAATGAGGATATAAGTCCAAAAACCATGTTCGGTCAAGGGTATTAAGATTAACTTGGAATTATGTTGCTTAAACAATTAGAAAAGGGATGAAAAAGATTTAGAAAAAACATCAAAATACGAAACATTTTCATGATAAGACAAAATATCACAGTTTTTCAAGTAAGTAAAAAATTAGAAACTAATATATTTTATATCGGTATCGCTTCTGGTTGTACAGATCTTATTATCCTAAAACAGATTTCTCCCTGGACGGTACAACCTTAAATATATCTCATTTTTGTCACATATCATAACTTTCACTGATTTAACGCGTGGAATCCCATTTTGTGCTGTAGATATATATATATATATATCTATATATATATATTTATATAGTATTTTCAACTTTTTCAGTTTAAATATACATTTTAGATGTTTAAATATATATTTCTTATATATATATATATATATATATATATATATATATATATATATATATATATATATATATATATATATATATAAATATATACCGAAGTTCTTTTACACACTGAACAAATAAATTTTCTGATAAGATCTATTTAGGAAAATCAGAATTTATATCTTATTTTCAGATTATGAGAAGAAACCAGAAGGAGAATCAGTTCTGGTGGCTGGGGGAGAAAATGGGAGTAGTGTTCGACTTTTTTATGTACAATATTGTATGGAAACAGGTCGGTTTATGTACAGTAGTTAAAATCATTCTCTGTCATACTCTTTCTTGTACATTACAATATTGTTGGTTTATGTACAGTAGTTACGATCATTCTCTTTCTTCTCTTTCTTGTACAATATTGTATGGAAGTGGTTACTGGTTAAAGACAGTAGTTCAGATCATTCAATTTCATGTACATGCATGGAAACAGGTTGGTTCATGTAAGTATTGCACTTGATCTTCCTTTTATTGTACAGCAGTGATGGAACAAGATAGTTCATCGACAAGAGGTCAGGCCATTCATGTACAATATTATATGGAAACATGTTGGTTGGTTAGATCTTCCTTTTAATGTACAACGGTGTATGATCTGCTTATTTCATGTACAAGATCATGCTCATTCATTTATACTGTACAGCAGTGTACGGATGCAGGTTATTTTATGTACAGTATAATTGTATGTATTGTTTACTATCTAGGTAATAATTGTAGCTGGATAGATGTAGAGAATATACCTATTCTATGTAGTATGTACAGTTGAATTGTATGTATTGTTTACTATCTAGGTAATGATTGTAGCTGGATAGATGTAGAGAATATACCTTATTCTATGAGAGAACCTAGAATGACAACAATCCACAACGAACCATATCTTTTTGGAGGATATTATGTGAGTTTTATTATTTCAAGTTTTCTAAAAAAGTAAAAGCAAAATTTTTCCTGAATTTAATTCACTAGCTATTGGTTTTTTTACCTTTCTTGGATAAAAAACACTCAAGAAAAGTTCCTAAAATGATAAGTAACAAAATATATACATCAGGATAAAAAATTTATACATCAGGACAAAAAATATATACATCAGGATGAAAAATAGGATAAAAAATATATACATCAGGATAAAAATATATACATCAGGATAAAAAATATATACATCAGAACAAAAAATGTATACATCAGGATAAAAATATATACATCAGGATAAAAATATAAACATCAGGACAAAAAATATATACATCAGGACAAAAATATATACATCAGGATAAAAAATATATACATCAGGATAAATATTGAATTGAATGCTAAATCACGCCAAATCGGTTCAGCCGTTTAAGCAAAAAGACAAAAAATTTTATAATATGAAGGAAGGTCGGAGCAGAGACGCAGTTTATAGTTTGAAGAATATGGAGTGGGTGCGAAGGGATGATATGAAGATTCCAAGGAACATCTTTATTTATATATTTAATCAATCTTTCATTGTCTTAATATTTGTATTGATTGTGTTGCAGTATTAATCAGAATGTTGAATTCTTACGTCTTTTTTTTTAAGAAATGTAGCATTGAAGTCTGTGGTTTGGGATTTCCAATAATTAATACATGGACTAATATGTTTGGGATCTTTTTCAAACTTACTACAGCCATTCCTTCTAAAGAAAAATAAATAAAAACAAATATTATAATTCTTCTAATTACTGGTGACCACTGTAGTGTACAAACTATTTTCGACCTGATTAAGACCTGATGAGTGTTAAATGCATTTAAAAAAGATGAACTATATTTGAAGAGAAAAGCATGCCGTCATAGCTGTTCCAAATTATTTCTTTGACACATGCCTAGCAGGTAAATTAAAATCTTCCCCTCTCCCCCACCCCGGCCTCCCTTGCTCTCTAAAATATAAAATAAAATATAAAAAAAAAACAATTCAAAAAAATAATAACATTAATCTTTAAAAATTGTACAATAAAATTTGAAGTCATTAAATTTTATCTTAGATGGTTCTTCAAGTACTTCTTCCTCAACATATAGGACAACATCAACAGCAACATCAGAAACGTTGGCAACAATATCATCCTCGAAAACCACGTCACACCCCACAACAACAACGACAACATCCAAAACAACTTCAGAGACAATATCAGTGACAACAACAGAGACAACATCAGAAACAACATCAGAGACAACATCAGACACAACATCAGACACAACATCACAGACAACATCACAGATGACATCAGATACAACACCAGGGACAATATCACAGACACCATTAGAGACAACATCAGAAACAACATCACAGACAACATCACAGACAATATCACAGACAATATCAGAGACAACATCAGAGATAACATCCGAGGCAACATCAGAAGCAGCATCAGGGGCAACATCAAAGACAACACCAGAGGCAACATCAGGGACTACATCAACAGTAAAGTTAACAACAACATTACTGACCACGTCAACAACAACAACAGTGTCCACATGCAATTTAAAATGTGAAACGAGCACTGAATTTGAACCGATTGTTTCTGAAACTTCAACATCAACAAATAAAGAACCAACGGCAGGGATTATAATCTCCACACTACCAACTGGTTCAGATGAATTTGAGACAACAAATACAGTTGTTGTTGATACAACGTTGTCCTCAACATTATCTACATTAGTAACATCAACAGAAATATCATCAACTGGAAGTACAACAGTGTCCATGTACTGTACAGCAACAGATTCTAGAGGAGTTGAATGGTGTACAGAGTATGGTAGATGTACAACTAAACACTGTCAGGAAGGTAATTTTGTAGGGCACATATTAGACTTATAGAATATATATACATACATATTACATATACTAGCTTGGGAACCCAGACTTGCCCAGGTCTTGCATAGCTACTCCCGCTGTTTACCCTCACAATGTTGTAAATAACAAGTTTAGTTATTTTTCCCGATAAAAGTATACCCATTCAATTTAGTATCTTAATTCCAATCTAAGGACATGTGGCATGGTTTTCCCGTGTTCCCAAATCCAAGTTTGAGAAAAAAAAAACATTCATGGGGTTCCTGAGTTAAGAAAAACAAACAAACAGACAGACACCAGGATATACCAACGTAGAAATTATGTTTATATATATAAAGTTGTAATCTCTATTTTTGTATATGGCTGTCTCTTTGTTTGTCCGATCATAACTCAGGAAGCCAATTTGCCTTAAATTTTGATTAGGAGACCCACGGGAATGTTGTTTGTTTGGTTTAAAGATTCTATGTTGTGTAGATTCAATTCAAGGAAAATCTAAGTTATAGGTTCCCCAAAAAAATATGTGATTGCACACATGGTTAGTTACTGCGGAGTTTGCCGGTTTTATTAATGATTGAAAAACTCTTTTCAAATCTTTTCCAAATAGATATTTTTTACTTTTTTTATTTACTCTTTGCTGTTAGAGCAATCTAATTATCAATCTGAAATATTAAACTGTATCCATATCTTCGGAAGGGATACCAATACCCATAGAATACAGGGTTATCAATAAAGGATGAGACTTCGGAGACGAATGTACGAAATTTATACTGTCTGTTTCCTTACATTCATGATTCCCTGCTCTATACTATAAACTGGTTTCTGTCTTTGCCTCATTATTAAAATAAGCCATTTAAAGATAATGAATAAAGCAAAGACATAAAGTAACCTTAAAATCGTCATATTTTAAGAGTTTCAAGTCGTCTTTATGGTCTCATCCTTTGTGGGTAACCCTGTATATCTTGGTTACTTGAAGGTTCTGGTGATGCAAGGTGGTGTTGTGATGGGAGTACAGGACAGTACTATACTCCTCAACCTGACCGTACAAAATGTACAAGCCCATGGGTAGATTCAGCTCTAGATATGGTAATTTTTATAATTCCGGCGTTGTTATATTTTTGGCTAAAATGCATGAAAACAGAATTTTTCTTGATATTTTTTTGTCGACATTTTATTTATGTCCCTGTGATACAGGGTGTCCCACGAAACATGACAATAGCAAGACGACTTAAAAGTCGTCTTTGGTATTTGAATTTATTTGTGACATTTAGTCTTCTATCTACTTTAACATGTATGATTCTTTAAACAATTATCACATAATTCTCCTAGCCCTGGCATTTCCAAAAAGTGGTCTGCGTTTTTTGTGCTTTCAATATTACTGGAAATATAAAGAGTTTTGTTCAGATTTCAATTTTGTTAAATAAAAGCAAAATTGTCGAAATGTGAACGAAATTCTTCATATCTCGGGCAATATTGAAAGCACAAAAAAGGCAGACCACATTTTGGAAATGGCAGGACAAGGGAAATTTTGTGATTATTATCTCTAGAAATTTACTTCTAAAATTAGGTTGACAAATAAACGCAGCAAATTATATCAAAAATCAAGACGACATTCAAGTCGTCCTGCATACTGTCATGTTTCGTGGGACACCCTGTAGGTTGAAAGAACCAGCAAAATAATATATTTTATGAAAGCTTGACACAAGCTGTAATACTAGAGCTCATTCTTTATTTAGTAATTTCATCTTGAGTTTAATACATCGGTGTGTTAGGACATCCCTATAACTCTGATTGATTGATGGATATATATATTTTTTACATCAAATATTCGTTTGAAAGCAAAAGTTTCAGAAAGACGACATTTAAATACAGCGTGATAAGAGGAAATTGGAAATTTTCTAACCTCAAATGAAAACACAATCCTCCTGAACAAAAAAAGATTGATTAAAAAAAATGGAATGAACCCTATCCCAAGTGAAATCTCTAGGGTTTAAATAAAAAACTTTATGGTTTAGGTGATAAACTCCATGGTTTAAATGAAACACTCCACGAATTAAATGAAAAACTTCATGGTTTCATAAAACCTCAATTGTTTAGGTGATAAACTCGATGAAACACTCCGTGGATTAAATGAAACACTCCATGGATTAAATGAAACACTCCAAAGATTAAATGAAAAACTCCATGAATTAAATGAAAAACTTCCTGGCTTAATGAAACCTCAATTAATGGTTAGATGATAAACTCAATGGTTTGACTGAAACACTCTATGGATTAGATGAAAAACTCCCTGGGTTAGATGAATAACTCCATGGTTTAGATGATAAACTTATTAAAATATAAAACTCTATAGGTTTAAATGAAAAACTCCAAGGTTTAAATGAAAAACTCCAAGGTTTAAATGAAAAATGTAATGGTTTAAATGATATACTCTAAGGTTCTGCAAAACTCCAAATTCTATTTGCAAATCTCTAAGGTTTAGATGATGAATGAATGAAATCCACAGTTCAGGTGATATCCATTCCATCTTTGGGTTTCTTGCAGGTAGGCATGTTATGTATAAGGTGCTTCCTAAACTCGCTTAGAAGTAGCGTATCATCCTCGAGCTAGTTTATTACCTGAAACATGGATTTATTATCAAATCTGGATGTTCATCATCTAAACCTTGGAATTTTTCACCTTAACCACGGATTCATCACCCAAACCTTGGAACTTATCACCGAAACCACGGATGTATCACCTAAACCTTGGAATTTACCACCTAAAATACGGATGTATCACCTAAACCAAGGATTGATCACCTAAACCACGGATTTATCACCTAAACCTTGGAATTCATCACCTAAACCACGGATGTATCACCTAAACCTCGGATGTATTACCTAAACCACGGATTTTTCACCCAAACCTTGGAATTTATCACCTAAACCACGGATTTATTATCTTTAAACCTCGGATGAATCACCTATACCACGGATGTATCACCTAAACCTCGGATGTATCACATAAACCACGGATTTATCACCCGAACCTTGGAATTTATCACCTAAACCACGGATGTATCACCTGAACCTTGGAATTTATCACCTAAACCACGGATTTATCACTCAAACCTTAGAATTTATCACTTAAACCACGGATTTATCACCCAAACTTTGGAATTTATCACTTAAACCACGGATTTATCACCTAAACCACGGATTTATCACCTAAACCACGGATTTATCACCTAAACCACGGATTTTTCACCTGAACCTTGGAATTTATCACCTAAACCACGGATTTATCACCCAAACCTTGGAATTTATCACCTAAACCCCGGATTTATCACCTAAACCAAGGATTTATCACCTGAACCTTAGAATTTATCACCTAAACCACGGATTTAACACCTAAACCACAGATTTATAACAAAAATATGTTATTTGTGCAAAAAGGAAAAAATATTCAATCAATGGTCGATTAGGTCATTATGACAAAAAGAGTAAAAACATGTGTTAGTTCGTTCCGCGCTCACAGAGCGAAGTAGGGTCAATATCAATTTTTTGTAAAAAAAGTTCCTTGTAATCTAAAACTGTAATTGAAAACATTGTATGATGTGCGATAAAAAATAGTTTTATTTATGTATTTTGAGTCTTCCAAAAATGGTCTATAACTACCGATTATGTTAGATTTTAAAAAAGGTCAAAATAAGTCCAACAGATCTCCAACTTTCACTTAGGACAGGTCTAATCCCAATTGTTTTTTTTTATAAAACATATTTTTGTTGAGTTCCCTTACACAACAGAATATTTATCTTGTTGGATATTGAATACAAATTCCGAACGATATATCATGAATTCTGATGAAAATAAGTCGTAATAAGTATTCTTTGTCTGTTTACAAATATTGGCGCATTGTAATAATACCAGGGCGGATATATTTCAGATAAGAGAAGGATTAGATACTGTTAATATCACACAGGAAGAACAACATTCATATCCTTTAAACAATACAATATCAAAATAAGTTGCGGGGGGGGGGGTGGGGGGTTAACGCCAAAATTAATTGTGGGTCTAAGTCATTTTATAGCTCGGGGGAGCGGTTAAAACTTCTCTTTAAAAAATTCTTCTAATCTTAACGATTAACATATTTTTTTTTAATTGAAAAAGTGTGTCGTGAAATTGGAAAAAAATAATCGTTTGTGTTTTACAAGTATTTTTTATAATTGCAGCTTGCAGGTAAAGGAGATTGCTAAAAATAGTTAAAAATTATATTCTTAGTAAAATTTCTATTTAAGATCTCTAACCTAATTTGATGGCGTCTATTCATACTGTTTTATTATTTAATGTTGTTTGTTGTTGTAAAGTACATTCGTGGACACATATCTGATCAGAGTACAGGAGGAGATATCATCGCTAGTTCAAATATATGTAAGTACATAAAGCAATGAGTACTTTGTTAATTAAGTACACAGATTATATTTTCGAGAGCACTATAGCTACGTACAGTGCTCACATATGAACAGAATCCAGAAATGAAGAAGTAAAATTAACATCGCTTTTAGTTCATTTAGTTCTTTTAAAATTTGGAAAAGTTAACTATCTTTTTCGTTTAACCCTATCCCTGCTGGGGTACTTGAAAACCAGAATACGCTAGGGGGGGTCAATTTGACCCCCCCCCCTCTAAATCCCATGTTTTATGTCCAAATATGACAAATGATACATCATTAGAAAGCTCTTGTTCTCTACTTTTAGAATCTGCAAAAAAATTTGCAAATTTGCGAAAATTGAATTTTTTATCGCAAAATCCAGTTTTATAGTAAAAATGTTTGCAAAAAAAAATTTGTCCAAAAAATGACAAATTATACATTTTTGAAAATTCCTTGACCATACCATTTAAAATATGCAAAAATTTTTGCAAAATTTTAAATAACCTGATTTTTAATCAAGAAAAACTAAAAATGTGCAAATTTCCTTTGACAGGTTGTTTGCAAAAAATTTGCAATTTTTTTCGCAAAACTTGTGCAATCCGTTTCCTCATGTCATAGGCTTTCCAAAAAGCTAAATTTTATCAAAATCTGACAAGTGAAAGTGGGTCAAAACAAAGATTTAGTTTGTTACAGGCAAAAGCAGTCATTCAGGCAGTGTGCCTGAGGACTCAGGCAGTTAGTATTAAAGCCCGGTTTTAGGCCTAAAGGGAGGGCTTGCAGGAATAGGGTTAATATAATAATTGTGTCATTTCAGTGGCAACTGATAACTCGCTTCAAACTTTCCTTTTTTAATCCATTATACATCTTCCATCTGTGCACCCTGATGTCGTAGACATTAATATTTCCAAACATGAATTCTTCTAGGTGAAATAACCAACTATTTTGAAATTCAAAGTATTAAACTAAAGATAAAACTGGAGTCTTAGGTGACTCAATATTTCCTTAAATTAATTAATTAAATACTGTAGTGAGTACCTTGACAAGCCTGCACGGAGATGAGAACCTGTCTCTAGACTATAGAATACAGTTCCTGGAGAATATTATGGATATTGTCAGCTCTATTCTCTCAGTTCAGCTTCCATGGTTGGAGATAACCAGTAGTAGTCTTAGATATTCTACTTCTAGTAATCTAGGTAGGGTATGGGTTCCAGGTTCCAGTCTTTAAGGTAGGGTTTAGACTTCAGGTTCCCGTAGTCTAGGTAGGGTATAGGTACAGGTTCAGTAATAAAGGTAGGGTTTAGGTTCCAGGTTCCATTTATCAAGGTTGGGTCTAGGTTCAAGGTTCCTGTAATAAAGGTAGGGTCTAGGTTACAGGTTCTAGTAATCTAGGTAGGGTCTAGTTTACAGGTTCCAGTAATCAATGTAGGGTCTAGGTTTCAGGTTCCAGTAATCGAGGTAGGGTCAAGGTTCCAGGATCCGGTCAACTGGACAGGGTCTAGGTTTTAGGTTCCAGGTTCCAGTAAAATAATTAGCTTTCCGGTTCCACGCAGGTTCAAGGCCTTTGATTGGAATTATAAAGTGTTTTTCTTTTCTTCTTTTCTTCTAGGAATTAACGAATTAGGAAAGGAAAATGTGCAAAAAATATAAAAACACGGTTCCTTAAAATTAAAATTGTTCAATTGTTTCTGGATATATTTTTTGTATGATTTTGCAGAAAAATCCTTGTTTAATGTTTATCTTCTTATTATTATTTCAGTGATGGCAGTTCAGTCCAGTAGCTACCAGTTCCTAAACCTTAGATCTTTAGACCAAGAGTCTTGTGTACATGAAACTAAAGGTATACTGCTGAAGAGTAATCGTATGTATATTAAACTAAAGGTATACTGCTGAAGAGTAATCGTATGTATATTAAACTAAAGGTATACTGCTGAAGAGTAATCGTATGTATATTAAACTAAAGGTATACTGCTGAAGAGTAATCGTATGTATATTAAACTAAAGGTATACTGCTGAAGAGTAATCGTATGTATATTAAACTAAAGGTATACTGCTGAAGAGTAATCGTATGTACATGAAACTAAAGGTATACTGCAGAAGAGTAATCGTATGTATATTAAACTGAAGGTTTACTGCTGAAGAGTAATCGTATGTATATTAAACTAAAGGTATACTGCCAGTAGACACAATATTTACTTTAAGACAGTTGTAAGTGTTAATAATAATTTCAATATTTTCATTATTTGTTACTGACGATAAACTGTTTATAGAAATTGAGTATAAACTGCCAGGACTCCAGGTTAACCTCAAAACTGTTAAAAAGGAAAACTTATCTTCCTGCTATAGGTAAATTATCAAAATTTATCTTTTTGCTACAGGTAAATTATCAAAATTTATCTTCCTGCTACAGGTAAATTATCAAAATTTATCTTTTTGCTACAGGTAAATTATCAAAATTTATCTTTGCTACAGATAAATTATCAAAATTTATCTTTGCTACAGGTAAATTATAAAATTTATCTTCCTGCTACAGGTAAATTATCAAATTTATCTTCCTGCTACAGGTAAATTTTAAAGATTTATATTCCTGTTACAGGTAGATTATGAAGACTTATCTTCCTGCTACAGGTAAACTATGAAGACTTATCTTCCTGCTATAGGTAAATTATGAAGACTTATTTTCCTGCTACAGATAAATTTTAAAAACATTTTAAACCTCAAGGTGCCCCAAAAAAGGTGAAAGGGTAATTAAGCTTGATTAAAGTTTCATAAATAAGTGTTGAACATTTTGAATACAATGGTTGTTAAACTTAAATTTTTTAATTTTATAGAATTGTCATTTATAGTTCTGCAAGCCTAACAAAAGACTAATATACTTAAACTTTTATGTAAATATTGAAAATGGGATTTGAAACGAATCTGTAAGTCCATTATCACCTTATATCAAGATATGAAGATATGTTAATATTCATTCTTCCCCCCCCCCCCTTAAAGTTCAATTTTTATCGGAATAGACAAATGCATTATTTAGATTGTAAATGAATGTATATATAAATATATATATATATGTACTATGTATATTGTATCATAATATTGAAGGTAAGTGCCAATATTAGACTTCTATTTGGCAAATCAATCATAACGAGTTATCTACCCTAAGTTCTGATGTATGTATTACTAATGTATTCCATTATATAAATAATCCATTCTTCGTCCTTTCTTTTACAAAGGTCCACAAAACATGCATATTAAACACAATCAAAGAAATACCACGATGATTTGAAGACGTAATTTCTGTTCAAATTAATTTGTGTCTGATTAAGAATGACGATTGTTGATAACTGTAAAAGTTGATTCATGTTTTGAAAATTTAATCGGAGAAGGTTCTCTAGAGGTCAGCTAAGTACACTGACCTCTGTATTCCATGTTGTCTGGAGGTTAGCTATGTACACTGACCTCTGTATTTCATGTTGTCTAGAGGTCAGCTATGTATAGTGTATACCAACCTCTGTATTCCAGGTTGTCTAGAGGTCAGCTATGTATACCAACCTCTGTATTCCAGGTTGTCTAGAGGTCAGCTATTTATACCAACCTCTGTATTTCATGTTGTCTAGAGGTCAGCTATGTATACCAACCTTTGTATTCCAGGTTGTCTAGAGGTCAGCTATGTATACCAACATCTGTATTCCAGGTTGTCTAGAGGTCAGCTATTTATACCAACCTCTGTATTCCATGTTGTCTAGAGATTAGCTATGTACACTGACCTCTGTATTTCATGTTGTCTAGAGGTCAGCTATGTATAGTGCATACCAACCTCTGTATTCAAGGTTGTCTAGAGGTCAGCTATGTATACCAACCTCTGTATTCCAGGTTGTCTAGAGGTCAGCAATGTATACCAACCTCTGTATTCCAGGTTTTCTAGAGGTCAGCTTTTTATACAAACCTCTGTATTTCATGTTGTCTAGAGGTCAGCTATGTATACCAACCTCTGTATTCCAGGTTGTCTAGAGGTCAGCTATGTATACCAACCTCTTTATTCCATGTTGTCTAGAGATCAGCTATGTATTGTATACCAACCTCTGTATTCCATGTTGTCTAGAGATCAGCTATGTATACCAACCTCTGTATTCCAGGTTGTCTAGAGGTCAGCTATGTATACCAATATTCCATGTTGTCTAGAGATCAGCTATGTATTGTATACCAACCTCTGTATTCCATGTTGTCTAGAGGTCAGCTATGTATACCAACCTCTGTATTCCAGGTTGTCTAGAGGTCAGCTATGTATACCAACCTCTGTATTCCAGGTTGTCTAGAGGTCAACTATTTATACCAACCTCTGTATTCCATGTTGTCTTGAGGTCAGCTATGTATACCAACCTCTGTATTCCAGGTTGTCTAGAGGTCAGCAATGTATACCAACCTCTGTATTCCAGGTTGTCTAGAGGTCAGCTATGTATACCAACCTCTGTAAACACAACAAGTTCATGTCTTCATGTGGTTTCCTTTAACCTCGTCAACAACATCAACAACAACAACACCAAAAAGTTCCCCAGCTTTACTTCCAACTCTGCTGTGGTCAACAAGAGTCAACAACTTGTTAACAGCATACTTGGATTATCAATTAATAATGATACTGAGAAGATTGTGATTGCAAGAGGTAAACAAGAGAACTACAAGAGCAGGTCAAATAGATTATCAAGTAAAACAGTTGGCAGCAGAGAAATGGACCAATTATACACGATGTCACACTCACAAGTGTCAAATATAACAAGAAAAACTAAATTTTCTTACATTAGTTGACTTGTTTTCAGAGATTAAATAAAAAAGTGTAAAAACAGAAAATAAAGAATACATAAAAATGCTCTTATTTTACTGTAATTTATGCACTTTATTCTAAAATTATAACTATTATTAATAATTTTGTCAGACACTTGTGACGTAAGAATAAAGCCTGAGAGTGTGCAAATTCTACGTTGCCATCTATTGTACTAGACTCTATTGTGGTTGTATAAAATGCCTTCTTTTTGAGCGAAAATTTTATGTTTAATTTAAAAGAAAATGGTATTAAAGGCTTTGAGAGCTAGTTTTTTACATTTTTTTGAGACTTTTCAGATTATTAAATGCCTTTTTTTCGAAATTAGAAAATGTAAATACTTTTAAACTAGAAGTTTTGGCGGTAGTGAGATTTGAAATTCCAAAATGAGAATATAAAAGTTTACATTTTTATTTGGATTTTGGATTTTCAAATCTCACTACCGTCAATACCAGAGTTTGAAAATAAAAGTTGAAATTTTATATTCTCATTTTGGATTTTTGAATCTCACTACCGTCAATACCACAGTTTGAAAATAAAAGTTGAAATTTTTTATTCTCATTTTGGATTTTGAAATCTCACTACCGTCAATACCACAGTTTGAAAATAAAAGTTGAAATTTTATATTCTCATTTTGGATTTCGAAATCTCACTACAGCCAATACCAGCGTTTACAAATAAAAGTTTAAATTTTATATTCTTATTTTGGATTTTGAAAACTCACTTTTTATTTTTTTCATGAATCTATATACTTTTATTTTATAAAACTGGGGCATTTTATACCTACAGGACTCTATTTGGGTCAGATCAATTTAGGGATCAATGGAATTCAGTAATATCTTCTATCACCTGCACTTTACACATAAAGGGGGTGTTAATTATGTTTTAATGACAACAATACAATTAAACGTTGTGATTGCCTATGTTTAAAAGGATTCAGTTCTGACAATTACCTCCCTCCATTGTTTTTAAAGAGAATATGATTGCAACTTTGCAAGAAATTGCATGCATTGTGCATCAGAAAGAGCTTTTATGAGTTTGTCAATTGATAAAAATATAAGTTAATATAAAAATATAAGTTTAGTTAAAATAAAAATATAAGCTAATATGAAAATATAAGTTAATATAAAAATATAAGCTAATATGAAAATATAAGTTAATATAAAAATATAAGCTAATATGAAAATATAAGCTAATATAAAAAATTTGATGGAATATGACTTATTTTTAGAATAAAGAAATAACAAATCTACCAAAGTATCTAAATTATACCTTTCTCCAATGATTTTAAACAAAAAGATAAAATATTCGGAAAGTTTAATTGTCCTCAAACTCCATTATTTTCTAGACCTAGATCCTGTCCAGATATACTTCGACTATGCAGATATAGTTTTACAGGTAGGCATGGATATAGTTTTACAGGTAGGCATGGATATAGTTTTACAGGTATGCATGGAAATAGTTTTACAGGTAGACATGGATATAGTTTTACAAGTAGGCATGGATAAAGTTTTACAGGTATGCATGGATATAGTTTTACAGGTAGACATGGATATAGTTTTACAGGTAGACATGGATATAGTTTTACAGGTATGCATGGATAAAGTTTTACAGGTAGACATGGATATAGTTTTACAGGCATGCATGGATTTAGTTTTACAGGTAGACATGGATCTAGTTTTACAGATAGACATGGATATAGTTTTACAGGTAGACATGTATATAGTTTTAAAGATAGAAATTATTTTATTTGTTCTTTATCCTATTCCTAGACTAACAAGGAAATGATCTATTCTATATCCTATTTCTAGACTAATCATGGATACAATCTAGTCTTTATCCTATTCCTAGATCATACATAGATACAATCTAGTCTTTATCCTATTCATATATCATACATAGATACAATCTAGTCTTTATTCTATTCATAGATCATATATAAATACAATCTAGTCTTTATCCTATTCCTAGATCATACATAGATACAATCTATTCTTTATCCTATTCATAGATCATACATAGATACAATCTATTCTTTATCCTATTCATAGATCATACATAAATACAATCTATTCTTTATCCTATGCATAGATCATAAATAGATACAATCTAGTCTCTATCCTATTCATAGATCATACATAAATACAATCTATTCTTTATCCTATGCATAGATCATACATAGATACAATCTATTCTATATCCTATTACTAGATCATATACATAGATACAATCTATTCTATGTCCTATTCCTAGACTAATATGGATATAATCTAGTCTATATCCTATTCCTAGACTAATATGGATATAATCTAGTCTATATCCTATTCCTAGACTAATATGGATACAATCTATTCTATATCCTATTCCTAGACTAATATGAATATAATCTAGTCTATATCCTATTCCTAGACTAATATGAATATAATCTAGTCTATATCCTATTCCTAGACTAATATGGATATAATCTAGTCTATATCCTATTCCTAGAGTAATATGGATATAATCTAGTCTATGTCATATTCCTAGATCATATACATAGATGTAATCTAGTCTATATCCTATTCCTAGACTAATATGGATATAATCTAGTCTATATCCTATTCCTAGACTAATATGGATATAATCTGCACCTTTTGGGATTTCAGAACGAACTCTTGGAATGCAGAGGGTAAGTTAAAATAATATTATTGTATATTGTACAAGCTTGGAAACTCTACTTTGCCGGAAAAGTAAACTTTCCCTAGAGGAGTCAACCCACTCAAAATTTTCACCAAGATAAGAACATTCCCATAGTTCTACCAAGTTCCCCGAATTTAAATTGGAGGCAAATAAATCAAGGGGTTCATAAGTTATATATAATTATACATATAAAGAAACAAACACTTAGAACCATAACTATACGCCAATTTAAAGAAGACAGAAGTTACATTTTAAACGTTACATTATTGCTAAAATATTTTTGTGTATCACACAGATTTATATTTTTCAGGATGTTTTTATAATCCGAAGCTTTCAAACTGGAATAGTTTAGTTTGTGATTGTTACCATCTTACAAACTTCGGGATAATCCTCGACTTTACAGGTTGGATCTTATATATAAACTTTACATGGTTGGATCTTATATATAAACTTTAAAGGTTGGATCTTATATATAAACTTTACAGGTTGGATCTTATATATAAACTTTACATGTTGGATCTTATATATATATACTTTACAGGTTGGATCTTATATATAAACTTTACAGGTTGGATCTTATGTATACACTTTACAGGTTGGATCTTATATATAAACTTTACAGGTTGGATCTTATATATAAACTTTACAGTTTGGATCTTATATATAAACTTTACATGTTGGATCTTATAAATAAACTTTACAGTTTAGGTCTTATATATAAACTTTACAGGTTGGATCTTATATATAAACTTTACAGTTTGGATCTTATATATAAACTTTACATGTTGGATCTTATAAATAAACTTTACAGTTTAGATCTTATATATAAACTTTACAGGTTGGATCTTATATATAAATTTTACAGGTTGGATCTTATGTAAACTTTACAGGTTGGATACAGGCTGAAGGAAGAACCAAAGAGTCCTATCCTGTTTTTAAAATATAGGAAATTCAAAGACATCGTGAAGCTTTCACCTATCAATATGTTTAATCCTTCCTATATTTAGGTCATGCCAACCCTGTAGATCCATTTCTAGACGTATTCTCCACTGTAACATTATCACTTTCTATTGGAGGAATACTGTTCTCTGAAATCATATTTTCAGTCCAAAAGTAAGTAAAAACTATGAACTTTATAGAGGTAATTGAACTAGTAAGGCCTGGTTCAACCACTTCTTGTTAACTGTCAAGATCAACTTGAACCAGAGATCGAGATGGTTCAACTTGATCTAGGCCGCCAGCAGAGACGTACACTAATTAATCTCGAACTCATCATTTAAATATATCAAATGTGTAAATTATACAGTTAGAGAACTATGATGAACAAAAAAGTTAACATTTTTTTCAGAACTGATCACAAAAGTACGCATAAACGGCACGCAGAAAGACAAAGAAACGTATGGCTGGCTTTAGGTACATGATTGTAAATAGTTTAATATTGTTCGTTAAACATTTTCTAATATTTAATTCCATTTTACTTTTTCTAAAGTAATTTCGTTTCTTCTTTTTGATATATTAATTTTATACCTCTCTCACAGGACAATTTGTCATTCTGCAGAAACCGGAGATTTATTAAACAAATAAAAACTTTTTAACCTAGCTCTTTTTAGGTATTTTAAACCGGTTTTATAAAAATCGAAATTAGCTCCGAACGTATTCTATTTGTTTATTTCATATGACAATCATAGATGTGTTAATATTATTTATAGATAGGCCTTAACATTTCCACTGACCTTCAACTCTGAGAAGTGTAACAAATGTGTTTATAACTTAAAGTTAAAATAAACTTCTCTTCTATTGAGTGTAAATGGTTCCAAATATCCAACCGATTGTAAGTTGAAAAGTTTCCGTTAAGTTCTGTGTAAATTGTTTCCAAGTTTGAAGTCAAATACTTTTAAATTTATTGTAATGGAAGGGATACGGTTTACACAAAATATACTTGATTTTACTGAAAGATTTTACAGATTTATTATATATACTAATTCGGCTTATCTGTCTGGTTTGTAAATGACTAATAAATTAAACAAAACATTCGTATATATGTTCTCCATAGCCGGCCCAACGGCTGGACCAAATGGGCTGACATTTTTTTTCAAATTTTTTATTTAATTTTTAATTTTTTCCACATTTTTTTTCCACGGGAAACGCCTGAATTTTCAGCTAGTGCACTAATAGATGTGAAAACGGCTGAACCGACCGGGCCCAAAATGTGGTATTTAAACAATTTTGCCCCGGGAAATAGAAAATAATTGAGCAAAAAACAGACAAATGAGACAAAACAACTTTTGTAAGAAAAAAAATCTTTTTCAATAAAGTATTCGTGAAAGGCTTTTGCCGGAGAAATTATTTAATTCAAAGGAATTTAGGAAGCATTAAAGAAGAATTCCTTGGCATTGAAAATGTTCAAATTACAAACTATTACGTCCTCTCCAGCCATCATTACCGTTAATGAGCTTAATTAATCACTTTATAGAAACAACACTAAACAATTCCGGTGATGGGAGTTAATTCAAACGATTAATAAAATGTGTTTTTATCTTTAAAAAGTAATTTTACTTTAAAAATATTTTTATTTGTTTTAAAGACGGAATTCTTCAAAATTCTTAACATTTAAATATCTCTAAAATCAGATTTCTTTGTTTCATTTTTTTAGTTTGTTTTTGGTCCTAAACTCCTTCTAACATTGTATAGTAAGCATACATCTTTAAAAGAGTAGATATAATTTTGTGATTTTCAAATTACTTCCCTAAAACAACAGAAGGTAATTTTCATCCTTTTATCCTTTCCTCCTTATTTTTTTTGCTTAAACGTTTTGAAATGAAATCATATTAAACAGCCCTGATCGGTAGGATAGGTCCACCCTTATGTATTGCTATTGATTTATGCATATAATAGTAAAAAAACGTTGTCTTAATACATAAAAGTAACGATAAAAGTATTCTTCTATGATTAGGTCAGCTTGCATTCCTCTCCTTGGTTCCCTTGAATATGGTTCCTCCAGTTGTTTGTGAAATATTTGGTTCTATTTCTCATCTTATATGGATGGTTTACTTCATGTGGTCAGGTTAGATATTCTAGCTATACTTGATGTGGTCAGGTTAGATATTCTTACTATACTTCATGTTGTCAGGTTAGATATTCTAACTATACTTGATGTGGTCAGATTAGATATTCTAACTATACTTCATGTGGTATAGTTAGATATTCTAACTATACTTGATGTGGTCAGGTTAGATATTCTTACTATACTTGATGTGGTCAGATTAGATATTCTAACTATACTTCATGTGGTCAGATTGGATATTCTAACTATACTATATGTGGTCAGGTTAGATATTCTTATTAAACTACATGTGGTCAAGTTTGATATTCTTACTATACTTCATGTGGTCAGATTGGATACTTACTTTACTTCATGTGGTCAGATTAGATATACTAACTATACTTCATGTGGTCTGATTAGATATTCTAACTACTTCATGTGGTCACATGTATATATACTAACTATACTTGATATGGTCAAGTTGGATGTTTTTTCTGATAGAAAATATTACTTTGTTGAAGTTAGCCTAGTGAATTTGTTTGAAACATTAAACAACATATAGATGTATGTTTTTCTACGTCATTTTTGCTTTTTGCTTATATTGCTTTTTTATTGTTGTAAGCTTTACTCTTTTGTTTTATTGTTTGTAAGCTTTACTCTTTTTTTAAAAACGAATGTAAAACTAATTTCAAAAATATTAAACATGTTTAGGTATTGAAGGATATTTCCTGTATCATGCTTTAACAAATGTTTTCAAGAAAACTAGTATGCCATCAGCCGTCATTTATTTCAGGTATGGATTTACTTATATCATTTATGTTATTAATGTGTTGTATAAAACGGTATCTAAAGGGAAATTTTTTTTTCTTCTTTTAGCTTTCTATTAGCAATTTCTTAGGGATTTAACATTTTCGAAAAATGTATTCATAAAAATATGCCTTAAAGAAATTTAAAGAAATAGGTTAGTAATAATTAAGTTACAAAGACTTTTGCGTCATTTTTAAGCTGAAAGAAAACGCCTAGATGACAATCAGTCAATGTTTTTCCTATCCCCCCCCCCCAGCCTTCCCTTTAACATTTCTCCTCTGTTCTTTTATTTCTCTTGCACTTTTCCGTCCATCTACTGCATTGCAATGTTTGAAGCATAAATATTTATGTATGCCTGTAAATCTTGAATATTGTAAAAGCTAGAATATGAATTCTGATAAATTGAAATTTATTTCAGCTTTTTTGTTCCAATTCTACTCTGTGGATCTGTACTAGTATACTCCCTACTGACAGGATATTTTCTTGCTCAAAACCATTAAAATAAAAAATAAAAATGCATAAAAAAAACACAATACTTTTCTGTTAAAAAATGTAGAGAACCTATCAAAATATGATTATTTTTTACTTAAAGGTAGTGACCACATTATTTGAGCTTTCAGTTCAACAACTTAGCGGTCACACCCTTTAAAGCACAGTGTAACACTAACAAGAACGAACTACTCGACTCAAACTCTAATATTTTAATCCTAATATGTCTCCAACCTAATATTGGGTCTAGTTTTAAATATTAAAGGTTTTAAAAAAAACAGGATTCGGGAATTTGAGTTTGAGACGAGTTTTCAGTTCATTTACTTTATGAATGAGTATTTGAAACGTTTCAAAATAATCTTAATCTTTAATCTTTTAAAGTTTTATAGTCAAGTTAAGATATATAGGAGAGGGTATATATCTTATAACATGGGAAGGAGAGGTATTTTCTAATCAGTTCTGTAATTATCCTATTATACTACATGCACTACACATCTGAGTCTCAAAAAATAGTTTTTTAATCAATTAAAACTAATGTTGAAAAATGGAGATGAAAATAAAAGGCAAATAGAACTTTTTATACATAACAAGATGGAAAGGTTAAAATACTCATAAATAATTTAACAAATAAATAACATACTTCAATGGCGGCAGCCACACTTGAAGGATTTGAGTTTATGCTACAAATTCAAATATTCTATTCTCTATATTTTTGCAATCTGATGGTGTAAACTTTTAATGTTTAAAACTTAGACTATTTGATCTAACAAAATTCTAACAGAATTGCAAAGATATGGGGATAAGAAAATCAGAGTTTGTGTAAGAACACCGTTCCTTTAAGAAATATTTCTGATCCTTTTGCTTAATTAAGATTTCTGCATGTTGGCTAAACTCTGATGGAATGTGGATATTCTTAACTCCTGTAGCAGTTATAATATCCTTTAATATTGCAGTCTTAGTGAAGGCTGTTACTGTCTCATACAAGTCATCTGCATTCAGGTATTTACGGAGAATATACTATAAAACATAAAATTTTTGAATTTATTTATCAACGAAAATTTTTTAATAAAGATTTCAAGATTTAAAATGAAATCTTTGCTTTGAACAGAATACAAATAATGTTATCACCTTTAGTAAGTTTTAGTTTATTTAAAATTTTCCTTTCCTCGACTAAATAGTTCTTGGAGCCTAGGAATTGTCAATTGATTCTTTGCCACAAACTCAAATTTTATAATTTGCAACCTTAAGGTGTAAATTTTAAATCGTAGGGAATTAACAGTTTAAAAAAAACCCACAAAAATACATTATTCATGACATAATACTGAATTTAATCTTAGAAACGTCAAATTTGAATATTTTAAGGTCGGCTTTACTGTCTCACCCAAGTGTTGTCTATAATTTATTTTGTTCTATTTAAAACAAAAAATTACATCCATGTCAGGAACGTTCCTAAAGTTGACCGACTACTGAGCTTAATACGGAATGCGCTCGTGTTGACCTGCCTGCTTAGCATTAGCTTTGTATTCTGCCTTATACCAGCATCACAGGTATTTTTATATGCTGCCTGAAACTAGCATCACAGGTAGCTTTGTAATCTGTCTGATACCAGCATCACAGGTAGCATCTTAATCTGTCTGATACCAGCATCACAGGTAGCTTTGTAATCTGTCTGATACCAGCATCACAGGTAGCTTTGTATTCTGTCTGATACTAGCATCATAGGTAGCTTTGTAATCTGCCTGATACCAGCATTACAGGTAGCTTTGTAATCTGTCTGATACCAGCATCATAGGTAGCTTTGTAATCTGTCTGATACCAGCATCACAGGTATCTTTCTAATCTGTCTGATACCTGCATCACAGGTAGCTTTGTATTCTGTCTGATACAAGCATCACAGGTAGCTTTGTAATCTGTCTGATACCAGCATCACAGGTAGCTTTGTAATGTGTCTGATACCAGCATCACAGGTAGCTTTGTAATCTGCCTGATACCAGCATCACAGGTAGCTCAACAAATATTTTGTTGTAAAAAAGAAAAAATAATACTAGAAATACAAAACTATCTAAAGAAATCAACAAAAAGTCTTGACTTTTTTGTTAAAAATTCCCTGATATTTTTTTTCAGAATAACAACACACAGCAGTACATTTTTGTTCTTTTGAACTCTAGCAGCGGTATTTTCATCCTTCTCTTCAGTCTTCTCACAAACAGGTTGTTGATTGATTGAGTTGGTTATTAATTGATTGATTAACTTTCTTATTCATATATTTATTCATTGTTTTTTTTTACTTATTCATTAATTTTTATTTATTTATTTATTTATTTGTTTATATATTTATTAATCGGGTAATTGATTGATTTACTGCATCAATAAAGAGCATCTGTTTTTAAACTGTTTGAACACCAAAGTTTTTATATTTTATACTCAACCAATTTTTGAAAACGTTTATTGAACTTTAGAAGTTTATACTTCTCATACTATACACAAGACTGGATAACCAGGATAATCTTTTTACAAAGCTATTTTCAAATCATAGAAATTGTAATTATATATTTACTATATTTCGTAATTTTTTTTTCCAAGAATGCATGAACCTAATTCATTTGAGCAGATTTTAGTTTTCATGATGTAGTGGATTTAAAGGATTTTTATGAAAGTTAAAATCTGTATTGCAGTCTTAAATGGTATTTAAACCAGCTTAAACGGAATTTTGAGTTTAAAGTTTTAAATAGATATGTTTTAAAATAAATATATTTAAGAGAGACTCTGGTTCTACAGTAGAATCCATGTTTGCTCATGAACTCTATTTCCTGGATTTTTAACATTGATATTTTTCAATTCAACATCATTTAACTTATTTTTACGCTGATTCTTTTAGCAGGGTTAATGTTTTAGACTTAGTAGTATTAAAATGTTATTATCAAAATGCTATATTATCTGTTGGTACATATCAAAATAAAATCCTCAAAACTATTTTTTGAAGACTAATTACTGAAAAAAATACACGTAAAGGTTGAGTTCAAATTTGCATCAATTCTAAAGAAATAAAATATCAAAAATGTATTTACTCTTCTCAAGTTTTCCCAATTCTGAATCACATGTAAATGAAAATGTGTATAATGGAAAGTTCCATTTTGCCACCTATTGAAAAAAATTTCAAAATATAACAGAATAAACATTTTCTATGAGAACAAAAATTTCACAAAAATTATTTTTGTGCCTAAATGTATTGTTGCATTAGGTACAATTTTTCTCAACAATTTTTCCACCTACAACATGATTCCTGCTAATATTTGTAACGGGTTTTATAAAACAACGTCCATTCTTTTTTTTTTTACTTTCCCTGCAGAATAAAGGATTAATAGATCTCTCAGAGATATTGTTATAATTCGTGTTTTAGGTTGAATTTTGTTAACATTCGCTTTTTTAGATATTGTAGGATAATTTGTTGGATATCGTTGTCATTAGCAAAATCAAACAAACGTATTAAAATTTTAAAAAAATTATTTTTTTAGGACGAATATACAACAACAGATACGTCGTCTTAGTTTGAGCAACAAGTCTGAGCTGAGTAAATCTACGAAATCCAGCTTGAAATCCACCAACACAGAACACGTCCTAGTTTCAGCCCAGGAGACAACAACGAAGATTATACTTAAGCTGTCAATGGACCAGGACTGGAAATGGAAATAAAATATATTTAAGATTTCATAAATGTAACGTATTTATTCAAATCAAAAGTAATATTTTAATGTTGATTTTTACGATAAAATGTTGTATGTACATATTTTTTAAAATAGACTAAAACCATGATGCACAGCAGAAACCAAATTGATGATAATTACTTTTAACAAGTTTTGATTTATTTGTTAATTACCACAATTAAACAATTAGCCTCATCATGATAGATAATTGATTTGCTTAATTATTTCTTGATGATTATTAACCCCAGTAACCCTACTTTACAATTGTCTATTATTAATTACAAGGGCCCGGCGTTGCCCGTGGAACAAAAAAGTTGGAAAAAAGGTTGAAAACAAAATTTGGATATTTTTAGCCTTTGGCGCCCTCAGGCTATCCATGAGTGTCCACAAAAAAATTCAGCCCATTGGGTCCAGCCGTTTGGCCGGCCAGAGGGAACATATATACGAATGTCTTGGTTTATTTTAATAGAAGATTGATAGTTATTAATCAAATAAATAGTGGAATTTTCGTTCTACGTGATATAAAGGATACGAGTCTTTGCCACAACCTCAAATCTTCTAATCCCTATATCTTATCAACCTGATGAGGTATACACACCTTTGATATTTCAAACTTAGATCATTTGATCAAACAGAATTCATAGTTTGAAATAACTAAGGTCTATAACATGGGTTGCAAAGATATAGAGATTAGAAACTCAGAGTTTGTGGCAAAGACTCAATTTCTTTGTGATCACTAGCAATTCAACCTCAAAACAATTTACACCATGATCGCAAAATTATTTTTTCCGCAAATGCAAATATTGAGGTTTTTGTAACTCTATTTTTTTAATCCATATATCCTTGCACCCAATGTTGTAAACCTTTTATATTTCAATCTTTTCATTCTGTTAGATTAAATAGTTTAAAATATCAAAGTTGCGAAGCTATACGGATTAATCTTTTTGGTAAAACTCATTGTCTTTGAACATTTATTAGAAGAGAACCCCATGTTTTAACTTTATTCTTTACTCAAATGTACTGTTGACTGTTTAAGTGACCCTTTATTCTTGTTTTACTGCTTAAAATCTGATCATTTTTAATTGTAATTTCTCTGGGAAAGTTTCTTGTGAATTTTTGCTGTCAGAGAGAGGGAATGCCATTGTCGGAAATCAACAAATTTTAGATAGAAAACGTTGCTCAGATAAATATAGGATAGGATACCCTTGTGAATCAGGCACGAAACTCTTTAATTAGTGCGTCACTTTAAATTACGTGTACAGTCCCTTTAATTCTCATGTTTTCAAGAAATCTCTTTTAACATGATTGTTTTAAACTAGTATAATATCTCATCTAACCATATTTCTTTCCTTTATGTCCTTAATTAGATTTGTAAAGATTTGCTTTTATCCAGGAAATAATTTATAAAGATTTCAGGATTAGAGAAGGAAAAGTTTTTAATTAATCAACCAAGAGGAAGAAAGGATTCTTTAATATTTAGAACAATGCAAAGCACTTTTCATACTGCATAAAATTTTCCAGAATTTATATATTTGGCTAAATGTTGTTTGCTTTATTGAATTGACTAGTTTGGGAACCCAACTTTGTCTGGAAACTAAGTTTTCCATAGAATTTGATTTTTATTAAATTTTGAAAAACCACGAAATTTTTTTAAAAATCTGCGAACCCTTTTTTTTGTTAATGTTTTACAATGTTCACAAAGAGAAAATGTTCACAGTTGAAATAGAAGATGGTCGGGAAGCACCCTGAAAGCCTAACAAAACTAGGATACAAAAAAGTTAGGGGTTTTAAAATTTTTTATTTTTTGTTAAACATAAATGCTACGTTTCTTAAAATCTCTTATTTTACATGTTTATATGGACTCCTTACATTGTCCTTGCATAACAAACTTGTAATCCGTAGAAACTCTTCTCTAAAAGCCTGTTAACTAAATTATACATCCATTATACATCCAACCCAGTACAATACATTTGTTTTGTTTTTCTGATTTGTTAATTAACCCATATATATTGTCAGAACTGTAGAAAATTCATTTATGCTTTTGTCAAGTTTTGCGTATACAGGGTGCTTAGGGTGTTCAGAGTGTTTATTGTGTTTAGAGTGTTTAGGGTGTTAAACAAAAACTGTGTTGAAAGTGTAAATTATTTTTGGTTATATCTATTAAATATTGCCCATCAAATACATGGTTAATATTTTGGTTATATCTATTAGATATTGCCCATCAAATACATGGTTAATATTTTTGGTTATATCTATTAGATATTGCCCATCAAATACATTGTTAATTTTTAGAGAAAATTGGATTGCCAAGTTCTGCTTCACTTAATATATCACATTATTTTTTATAGATATATCGAAGATGCAGAAATATTATAATAATGAATCCATTCAATAGAGATCTTTAGAGCACCAACAACTATAATAATTGGGCAGCCTTTTTCAAGATTGGGCCGACTGTGGAGTGTCGCAACACCTTGGTCTTTTTTACCTTGCTAACTCACAAATATTTTGTATAGTTGACAGCTTTGACTAAAATCCACCTGTACATGCTGGTACACTGTGAGTTTCTATAATGTTATTAATAATCTTTAAATCTCTATGGCGACTTTAATGATCTTAAATCTCTATGTTTGCTCTAATGAGATTTCATCTCAATGGTTGAAATAATTATCTTAAATCTCTGTGTGTTCTCTAATAATGTTTAGACTCTATGGCCAGGAACCATTCCAAGAAATCTGATAATTGATATGCACTGCACACAGTTGTACCAGGTCTGCGCTGCCCCCGGAGCCTGAAATGAAACCTTAAACCATCCACAAAAAAGTAACTATGAAACCTAAGCATTCAGATTTTATTATTTTATTGATTGGATAGTAACTATTTATAACTAGTTTTTTGACAGAAATTATCTCTTTATCGAGAAGGTTTAAGTCTTTTTAGATTTAATTTTAAAATTAATCTAAATATAATCTAAAAAGGCAAGAACCTTCGAGATATAGAGAAAAGTTAAGTCCAAAAACTTTATATAAAACATCGTGCCAAAGTAATAGTGTTATGGGTAATTTTATGAAACGTTTGTGTCATCGGAAAATCGGCTAAAAAAGAAAATGGACTGATTCCTCTAATCTGGTTAAAAAAAAAAGGAAAAAACAAGACAAAAAATTTCTTTGTTTCAAAGATTAACGTAGGTATTTATATAAAAAAATTAAGGAAATAAATGTTCTTTAGTCACGTCTGGAGAGAAAAAGAAAGTTATAGAACACAATCTGATCTTTTCCAACATCTTTCCTGTGCTGGGTTTTATATTTTTGTTTTTGTTGTAACACAACGTGTATAATATATGTTCTAATTGGATGTCAGTATGAGCGTTAAGAGAATATAGATGATTGCCAAGGGATATAGATAATAAACATAGATGTTGCACAAACAAATACATAAACATTAAACAAATATAAAAAATATAAAAAATTATATATGAATTTACCTTGTCTTGGCGTCTGTTTGTCTGTCTGTTTGTTTGTATCCAATAAACGTTAAAACGGCTGAACCGATCAGGCCCAAATTTTGTGTGGGACCTCAAGTGGCCCCAGGCAAGGTTTATGGCCAATCAGACTTTAAATATGTAATCATAAAATATTTTTATCTTAAACTAATTAATTTAGTAAAATTTTGAAAATGCCCAAAAAAATATTATGAAATCCACAAATAAAAAAAAATTTATACTGTACAAAGAGAAGATGCTAACAGATAAAGCCACAATTAAAAGTTGAAAAAGAAGACGGGGGCGAAGCGCCCTAAAAGCCTAGTGATATAAATTCTGAGAGCTCCACCACTCAAACTTTTCTTATATTATCTTTGCAAGTTGTTTTGTGAATCCATCTTTTTTATGGAACCCCTATCCTTACCCTGACATAAATTCTACTCTTAGAACCCCTATCCTTACCCTGAAATACATTCTACTCCTAGAACTCCTATCCTTTCCATTATTTACATCCTACTCCTAGAACCCCTATCCATACCCTGATATATATTCTACTCTTAGAACCCCTATCCTTACCCTGACATAAATTCTACTCTTAGAACTCCTATCCTTATCCTAAAATATATCCTACTCCTAAAACTCCTATCCTTATCCTAAAATATATCCTACTCCCAGAACTCCTATCTATATCCTGAAATATATCCTACTCCTAGAACTCCTATCTATATCCTGAAATATATCCTACTCCTAGAACTCTTATCTCTACCCTGAAATATATCCTACTCCTAGAACTCCTATCTCTACCCTGAAATATATCCTACTCCTATAACTCCTATCTCTACCCTGAAATCCCTGAAATATATCCTACTACTAGAACTCCTATCTCTATCCTGAAAAATATCCTACTCCTAGAACTCCTATCTCTACCCTGAAATATATCCTACTCCTAGAACTCCTATCTCTATCCTGAAATATATCCTACTCCTAGAACTTCTATCCCTACCCTGAAATGCATCCTACTCCTAGAACTCCTATCTCTACACTGAAATGTATCCTACTCCTAGAACTCCTATCTCTATCCTGAAATATATCCTACTCCTAGAACTTCTATCTCTACCCTGAAATGTATCCTACTCCTAGAACTTCTATCCCTACCCTGAAATGTATCCTACTCCTAGAACTCCTATCTCTATCCTGAAATATATCCTACTCCTAGAACTCCTATCTCTATTCTGAAATATATTCTACTCCTAGAACTCCTATCTCTATTCTGAAATATATCATACTCCTCTAGAACTCCTATCTCTACCCTGAAATATATCCTACTCTAAGAACTGGGTTTTATGTTTCTAATTTGATTCTTAATAATCCTGGAAAGAGAAAGAGAGAGAGGATATATTCAATAAAGACATCTAACATGAGTAATCCTTTCACCAATATTTACTTCAAGATTAAATTCAGAATATTCTGGAGAAGAGGAGATCATCCTTAAAATCATTAATTAAGGAGAATATTTTGTGTGAGCTTATCAAAGCTTATGAGGTTTATTGATAATAAACATTGTCCTAGGGTTGTATAATTATGCTCTATCAATAATAAAATGCATTTTTTTCTTTTTTTCATAATTCCTATAATCCCCCTCCTCC